AAAATGAGGAAGAAAAGGAGGGAGGGGGGGGGAAAAAAAGAAAAAAAAAAAAAAGAGAGGGGGGGGGGGGGGGGGGGGGGGAGGGAGGGAGGGGGGGGGGGGGGGGGGGGGGGGGGGGGGGGGGGGGGGGTAATATTATAGGTTTGTATGAACAAACCCTTTAGAGTTGTGTTTAGCTTTATCTATATATTCTGCCGGTTATTACTGACTGCATGGATTCTATATTTATTTTGCGCTTCAGTAGCTAGTTTACTGTTCTTTATCAAAATCTGTTTGTTTATAGTATACCTGTATCCTTTTAGGGATAGAATCCTAATAATACCTTTCTTTTTCAAGAAGAAGTTAGCTCATAACATCAAGTTTAGTATTCTGAATTTGATGCACCTTTCTTTTTTCAAGGAGAAGACAGCTTGTAACAGCTGGCAGAATGTATGGGCGAAGCCAAGCATAACTCTAGAGGGTTCACTTGTACAAACCCATAATAAATATTACTTAGGTGGGTTTTAAAAGTATAAAACCTAGACCTACAGAGTATAGTATATAGTGTATATTTTCAATTACTATAGGATTACTAGTACTAGAGTAAAACTCACAGTTGATAATAGTAGCCAAGTTGGAAAAAAGTCATTAGTGTGGTTTGTTCAGTCGAAACTGGGTTTTTTTTTGTCGTACTCGAGTCCACAGGCCCCGAGTCACGTGACTTGGATGACCTGATACCAGATTCTTTCAAATGTTAACGTTGCCGCCTTGGTTGAGCCGTCTGTTCCCCTCGACGTATTGTCTTACCTCTGACCACCCGAACGATGAGCCCTCTTCAATTTGTTACCGGTCCATTGGGAATCGCGGCGAACTCACCCAATACAGATGGATGCGGCCCTCTTGGTGCAACTGTGGGCCCCTTGCCCATGACGACCACCATCTTGTTGGGCCCTCTAGAGGGAGATTTAAATGGAGCCGCTCTTATCTAGGTATTGTGGGAGACTAGATCCCGTGCTAGTGCAGACCCACATTGTCATCAGCCCTGTAGATCGACTTCAGCCTCGAGGGGGGTGGCTAGGTCGAGAGCGTTGGGTGCTTTGTACCCGTGTGTGCCTGCAGGCAGCAACGGCCATGTGAGTCATAACTGACGTCATCTCTGGAATGGGCACCAGGCATACCCGCCATACCCGCATCGCAGGAAACCGAAGGGCCAAAGATCAGGAATTGAGCATTGAGAGATGAGAGGAGATGTCCCGAACCCAAGCGCTGGATGTGATTGGCGCACTCGGTGCCGGGGCCGTCCTATTAGGTGATTGCCCGCATGGGAGGTTGTCATGTGGAAAGATCCATACCGGTATGGTATGTAACGAAACCACCACCGTACCTGTACCGAGACCATACCCGGGTCTTCCCCCACCCCCCCGTACGGTGTGTGATCGATAGAACCGGAATGGAACCTGAACGGAACCTGAAAGGAACCGGAATTGAGCAGATGGGCATTGGGCACTGGGGTATGGTATTTACCGATCAGCTGGTTCCTCCCAGATGACTGCGCCCCCAGCGCTCTGATGCGCTTTCCTCTCTGCCTCGTCGTTGCGGTCAAACTCATTGGTCCTCCATTGTCTCATGAGACTGTCCCATGAGCCCCTTGGAACATCCTCTTGTACGCGCCACCCCGCAGTTTATCTTGACTCACTCTTAAAGCCCCTCAGCGCGCCAATTATCCTCTTTCTTTCTTTCTGCTCTTTGCTCGAATTGACTCTAGGCTTATCGCCACAAGACAAAGAGGTGACAAATCAACCCATTCCATTGACTTCTCCGACATCTCTTGTAATTCTCACCTCTCTTCCTCTTCCTCTTCCCCTCTCAATCTCCCCCAACTGTGCCCTTAACCTACTGGAACTGTTTCCAATTCTCTCGCATTTGGTATGACATCACCTGGGCAGCCGGCCCAACAGCCCAACATGAATCGTCTCTCTGTGTCGAGCCTCATGTCTCCTCCGGAGACAAAGCCCATCGAGAGTTTCCCTACACTCTCGCCCTTTGCAAAGCCTCATGCCGCATCGGGCGATATGAAGCTCCCTCCAATCGCAACTGATCGAAAGCGCACACAGTCGGAGATGAATCTCCCATCACCACCTGTGACCCCGTATACCGGGAGCAAGAAACGGGACTCGCCATCCGATCATATAGAAACGGGATCATCCAGAGATCCCGTTCTCTTCCCCTCGCAGGAATTGAGTACTGACGCCAATGAGGAGCCGTTGTTTGGCCCCGGTCCTCCATCGACGGACGCCATGGTGGCCCGGCATATCGACTCACACATGGCATTGTTTCGGAACAAAGTAAATAAACCCACCCGAGATGAGTACCTGTTGGCGCTGTCCTGCGTGCCGATCGTCTCGGCGCAGTACAACCGCAATCCCGCCGCCTGGGCGCGGGAGGAGCGGGAAACCTTGGAACGCCAGTTGGTGATGATGAACCGTCATCGCCCAGGCCGCGAACCCAAGTTGAAGAGAATTGCCCCCGCCCCTGCCAAGAAAGCAGGCGCCCAGCCGCGGATGCAGCAGCGACCCAGAGTCAGACGAACCCCTAAGTCTACCCCCAAGCAGCAGGTGCTCGATACCTTTGATTCCCCCCCGGCGACCAAGCCGCGTACCTTGGGTACGAACCGTGATGATACCGATTACCACTCACTGATGGACTATTCACCCCCACTGGAGACCCTAGGCAGCAATGTCAAGGCACTGAAGGCGGATTGGAAAGGGCAGATGCTAGACCTAGGTGGCGACGTGGACAAACATTTGCTGAGTCCGGCCGAGCTCAACCTGGCTTCCACCCTCAGACTTTCCTGTGCCACATACCTTTGCAGCAAGCGTCGGATCTTTGAAGCTCGAGTCCGCGCCCTGGGCGTGGGCAAAGAGTTCCGCAAGACCGATGCCCAACAGGCCTGCAAGATTGACGTCAACAAGGCGAGCAAACTGTGGACCGCATATGAGCGCGTGGGTTGGTTTAAACCCGAATACTTTCATCAATATCTGAAATGATATCCCAAACTCCACCCTGGTGATCCAGCCTGTCGCCCCCCCTTGGATGACGGATTAAACCCTCTTCAGGATGACTTTCCACTGACCCCCAGTGACCATCACTGCGCAATACAGCCTTCGTCTATTAATTCTCCGAGCACAGCCTGCCGCCAAGACAGATGGCATTTCTCTATCGACTCCCTTGAACTTTTCGGTCTCATCGCTACCTCGCCCTTATGACATGTGACGATTCACTTCTTTCTCCCTGCGCTCCCATTTCTTTTTCGTGTTCACATTCAAGATTCCCCTTTGGTTTATTTGCATACAGACGTTGTTCCAGTTTTCTGATGTTTCCCCCCTCTCATCCCCTGGCATGGGATCTGACTCTCTTCAACCTCGGTCCCTAGTTATGGCGTTCGGGCTCATCCTCTTTTGTTTTTTTTTTTTTTTTTTTTTTTTTTTTTCGTCTTTCTTATTCTGGACTAGATTGCTCGGCTTGGATCGCTTCGGACCTGAGTGAGGCTTTGTTTTTGTGAATTTTGGCCTGTCCTTGATGTCTTCTGGAGGACAAGGCTTGATACCCTGACCAGATTTGGTCCTTTTCTCTTTTTCTCCTTTCTTCTTAGTTGAATTGAATCGATGAATTACATACTGCATTCACCCCCACTAGATCAGGAGGGAGAAGAACCAAATCCGAGGTCGAATCACAGCGGTTTGTATTCGTACGTAGCCTTTCGTATCGAACGTGTTTCTAATTAAAAAGCGGTGGGGCACTCTGCCGGCGCGTCCGCGCCACCTTTTTCTGACGTCTCCTTGTCTTATCAACTTCATCTATTCCCATCATTCTGGCATCATGTCGCAGGCTGAGGCTACGCGTCCTGAATCCATTGACCAAGATCGTCGGAGGGATGACAAGAAGCCCAAGAGCCGCCGACCGGCGAGTATGTTCACCCATCCCCTTGTTGCGCATTTTGGCTAAACCGTCTAGATACTGCTTTCCGCCAGCAGCGACTGAAAGCATGGCAGTGAGATTGGATACTGCGCCTGTTATTAACTATGCTAATACCCCATCAGACCAATCCTCACCCCGAAAAGCGTGCTGCCTCTGTTCTTCATCGTTGGCATCGTATTTGCCCCCATCGGCGGTGTCCTTCTTTGGGCCAGCTCCCTCGTAAGTCGCCAATGCATGACCGCTCGTGCAAAAAGCCCAGTCCTAATGAGCCGCGGGATCTAGGTTCAAGAGATTTCCATCGACTATTCCGACTGTTCAAGGTTGGCACCACTGGATCACGACGCCCCCGTTCCCACGTACTCCGCGACTTTCAAATCCAAAATACAAGGTGTCCCTACATGGCAGCGCTCGATCGACAATTCTACCGACGCTACCACCTGCACATTAAGATTCTACATCCCGGATGACCTTCCAGCGCCCGTTTTCATGTACTATCGTCTCACCAACTTCTACCAAAACCACCGTCGCTACGTCCAATCACTCGACCTGAACCAACTGAAGGGGGATGCTGTCTCCTATGGCACACTCAAAGGTGGTACATGTGATCCTCTAGCAGTTAATGAAACATCCAGCAAGCCAATTTATCCTTGTGGATTGATTGCCAATTCCATGTTCAATGACTCGATTGGTAACCCCCAATATCACTCGCCCGAGGGGTCGGCAAACGGAAACCCGGATCCCTACAATATGACCAAGACTGGTATCGCGTGGCAAAGCGACAAGGAGCTAATCAAGACAACCAAGTACACACCGGAAGAGGTATCGCCCCCCCCGAACTGGGGTTGGGCCCTGGATAACGGCAGTTACACAAAAACAATGCGTGAGCTACAGGATAATGAAGATTTCCTGGTCTGGATGCGAACCGCAGGGCTGCCATCATTCAGCAAACTTTCTCGTCGCAACGACAATGAATCCATGTCGGCCGGTCTATATTCGCTCGCCATCGTTGACTGTGGGCGACCCTCCTTCATTTCTTTCACTCGTCCCTGCTGACCCGCGCCTAGATTTCAACGTTACAGAATACTCAGGCACCAAGTCAATCCTGATATCTACTCGAACCGCGCTTGGAGGCAAGAACCCGTTCATGGGGATTGCCTATGTGGTGGTTGGAGGAGTCTGTGTGCTTCTTGGAGCCCTGTTCACCGTTGCACACTTGGTGCGCCCAAGGTATGAACAACTAAACCTGTCAGGGTGTCTCCAGATCCCGAAACTAACCCGGAGCTAGGAAACTCGGTGACCACACCTATCTCACCTGGGACTCGAATCAACCGAGTACTGGGACTGCCACGGGGCGGGACGACCGATTCGGCAATGGGCCTTAGCTCTTCTCTCTGTCTTTTATTATTTCGTAAATAATCCGGAACCCTTTGGTGTTTGGGTGTTTTCTCTTGTATCTTAACTCTACAGTTTTCAAAATCTCTTTGTTGTCCTCTGACATACCAATTGCCGCTGATCTTCTACACATGCTTCAAGGCTTCCCTTGCTGAGGGTGGACATTCTTCGTGACGCCGCATTCCAGATCATGGAACCAGACCACGTTAGTAGCTAGCACAGAAGCCCAGTCAATAAAGCCCGAGGAGAGGGTTCTCTTTCCACTCATTCACTCTTTTGTTAATCCCCCCCCCAGTTTGCCGGGGGAGACGTTCAGACCGGAGCTTCCTACACCAACATGGTCCGTCACTCATTTTTCCAGCTCGTGGTCCTAGTCACATCCCTTGCCCTGCAGGCACACTGTGGTCCCCTTGCGCACCAGATACGAGGCGCCTGTGCCACCGAAGACCCTGACGAGAACTTCCTCAACGAGGTTGGCCGTCTGAAGTCCACCGAAGCCGCGTCGGCCAATACCCAAGCCCGAAGGGCCCCTATTGAGATCGAAACATGGTTCCACATCGTGAGCAGTAAGCCCGAGTCCTCGCAGGTGACAGACGATATGACCGATGCCCAAGTCAGTACCCACCGAACTGGCTCATAGTATTCCCTCCTAATCCGTGTTACAGCTGTCCATCTTGCAAGAATCTTACGCGGATTCCGATATCTCTTTCCGTCTCGCCGGTGTCACTCGTCACGTCAATGATGAGTGGGCCCGGAATGGAGATGATGTGGCAATGAAGACCGCCCTCCGCAAAGGAACGTATCGCACCCTGAATGTTTACTTCCAAACGGATCTTCAGGCCTCCCCCGGGCAGTCTCAGCGTGCCCTCGGACCCAGGGGCGATCTGACATCGAGCGTCCTTGGGTTTTGCACGTTGCCAGACCCCAGCGTCAATGCCAGCAGCCCGGCCTCTCATTATGTCAAGGATGGTTGTAATATTCTGGCCAAGACCATGCCCGGCGGCTCACTGGATCTGTATAATCGGGGTGGGACCGCAATTCACGAAATTGGCCATTGGAATGGCCTGTTGCACATCTTCCAGGGCGAATCTTGCTCGGCCGACAACGACGGGGACTACATCAGTGACACCCCTCAGCAGTCGACCCCTACCGATGGATGTCCCTCCCATAAGGATTCTTGTCCGGACATCCCCGGGGCGGATGCAGTGCACAATTTCATGGATTACTCGTCTGATGTCTGTTATGACAGCTTCACCCCCAAACAAGGAGAACGCATGCGGAGCATGTGGTCGTCCATGCGGGCAGGAAAATAGAAATAGAAGCATCTTTGGGAACATCGTGCGATTGAAAGTCAATAGAGTAGGGGCTACTTGGAGAATATGTCAGGATCAGTTTGATGGTACACAACGGGAGTGAAAACTCGAGTTACCCATAGGCCGATAAGCTCTGGGGAATTTTGTAGCAGTAAAAAATAAGTAATAAGCGCGATTGATAATGAAAACATGAGGACAGGAGAAGAAATGCGCACTCCCCATAGCCTGGCGACAACGAGGACCACGCGTATCAACGCTTGCGCTTGGTGCCACGATCGCTATCATCGTTGTTTTCCTTGTCCTTGCGTTTGGCCTTTTCTTCCAGTTCATCCCAGTCCTCGCCACTCTCCTCATCTCCGCTGAATTCTTCCTCACTGGCGTCAGCGCTCGCGTCGTCGTCGAATTCGCTGTCCTCTTCGGAGCTCTCGTCTCCAGCTGCAAGCTCTTCGTCGGACAACTCGAATGCGGACTCTTCTTCCTCATCCGAACCCTCTGAGTCCGACTCGGCCGACAAGAAAGACCAACCGCCATCAGCGAAGAAGCCGTACGGGTCACTCACGACCGTTTTCATGATCGTAGTCCAATTCAAGTTGAGAGGACCCTCGGTGAAGGCAATATCAACCGAATCAAGCCAGTCTTTCACACCCTCTAAAGCCTCGACGGGAATCGTGTTAATGTGAACCGGGGCCCGGCGGAAGTCCTTGAAAACAAACACCAGATCAAAGTTTTTGAGACCAAACTGACGTCAAGTTAGTATACCCTGGATTCGGAAAAACAGGGACATGCCTTACCTGAACTCTCTCCAAATGCGCAATTTCGATTTCATTCAACGTGACGGTGGTGAACGGAGGCTCGGTCAGTTGAACCAGAGCATCGGTGGTCGGTTGGATCAGAACATTGGATCGGTTTGGAACACCCGTAAAGCCAATCTCCCGGAAGGGAATGTCGACATCGACGCCTTCGTCTTTACCGGCATCTGCGATCTTCTCGGCAAAAGCCTTGAACTCCCGATCCAACGCAGCTCTACGCCGTCTTTCCTCCTGCTCGGCCTCAAACTCCTCCTCGTCACCGTACCTGTGTTTACGTCGTCGGTTTCCTGTTTCATCGAACTGCATTTCTGTCGCCTCGCGATAGAACTGGATGTCTTTTGTCTTCCGCTTGCCAATCATGATGGGGGTTTTTAGGTGCACATGAATGAGCACGATCAATTCGTGAGCACATGGTTGGAAGAAGAGATGTTTGACATTGCTGAAGAGCACATCGACGTGCTCATTGCGGAAGGGTGATAAGTATCGAAGACCATTTTGGTGAATCTCGACCTCTCCGGGCACGCGCTTACCGTCGAGGGGAGGTCGAAGATAGACGTCCGGAAGCTTCACTGGACGTCGGTTTCTGATCTCGACCAACTTTTCCTGTTCGACAACATCCTCCATCTCTTTCTTCTCCTGTTCTCGCCTCAGAGCATTCTTGCGCAATTCAGTGATGTCTTGCGCAACTCGGGCGAGTCGGTCGTTGTCCTTGGATCTTAGAGTAAGGTTGCGGACGAAATGCGCGGACAAATCCTCAAATGGCTGGTCATCCTTCCTGCCAACACCTTGACCTGGAGACAAGAAGTTGATGCGGAGGTACGCGTACTCTCCTTCGTCACTCTTGCTGGCATTTTTGATGGTGTTGATGTGGAAAGGAACAGGTCGACCCATTATGGGTACAATGACAGTTGATGTTTTGAGATCAACGTAGACCGTAAGGTCTTTGACCTTCGCAGGCAGTTGGTTGTCACGCTTGTAAGATTCAAAGCGTTTGAATTTCTTCTGTGCAACTCCATTCTCATCCCCTGTAGTACCGGTAAATCGGTCCAAACCTTCCTTTGTCTTCTTGGAGGCTAGCTCTTTTTGATGCTCACGGCGACGGGCTTCGGCGCCTTCATTGACCTGCGTTGGTCGCTCGGCGCGAAGCTTGGTTCGTGTGACGTTTCTACTCGCAATGGCGCTAGACTTGGTCTCTTTCTTTTCCTTGACGGGTTTTTCAGGCTCCTCTTCGTCTCCAAAGTAGAAAGAGATCGAGTCCATATCAATACCTGCGTCTTTCGTGAATATGTGAGGTCCATTATCTCCCACACGGACGGTGTCGGTGATGACCATGGAATAGCCACCGTTCTTGGCACTCTTCGCATCTGCATCTTTCACATCGGTAAGTCCGATTGTGATGGAGAATGTCATACCGTTCTTCAGCACGCGATTGTTCTTGGCATTCAGCACCATGTTGGCGTCTCGGAGCTCGATTCCAATGCCTGCGCCGACGTTCTTCACGAAATGCGCCTCAAGCTCAGGCTTCTTGGTGCGAATGAGACTCAGAGCTTTGTTGTAGATGTCCTTTGCTACCACGCCATCTCGAATCTCTTTCATGGTCGCTTCGTGGAGGCTCAGCAGCAGGGCATAATTTGCTTCTTGTGATTTGGTGGGGTCAACGAGGTAGGTACGCCCGATGAGTGAGCTATAGGTCTTGTATCGGATTCCAAAGCTGGAGAGAATGATGCCGGGCTCAAGAGTCTTGCCGTCCGATTTGGCCGAAAGCTTAAGGTCGTAGGCACCTCCACTCTGGATCACAGGCCCGTAAGCCCAATCGATTTGTTGAGCATCAAACTCAGATGGCAGGCGCGCCAATTTGTTAAAGAACTTGGCATCGTCAATCTTTGCATCCACTTTTGCAGCAAGTGCCTTGTGTGTCATTTTCTGTTCTTCGTCGAGCAAACGGGACATCTCGTCCACAAAGTATTCGGACATGAGACCACTGCATGCTCGGGAAGCATTACGGATGGATACCTTCGTACTGCGTCAATAGTCTTCATTTAGGGGACACAGGATGCCGAACGAACCAATTCATCGGAATCTTTGATGGCGAAAGCGGCTGAAAGCGCAGGTGTGATGTCGACCTCTTCCACGTCCTTCGAAATCTCCGCGAAGGCACGCTTCCATTCATCTGCGAAAGGACCCGATGCTGTGTCTTTAGGGAAGGTTCCAACTTTGCCCTGTGGGTTGGTGGTTAGCTGGCTACAAATCAAAGCGGTTCCGTTCGGCATTTGACTTCTCACTCACTCCTGCGGCTTTGATGACTTCCGCGCACTTTTCAAATGCCTTGGTCTTGGTCTCTGGATCTTTCGTAGTTACCAAAAGCTCAACCGGGATCTTGCCATTCTTGAGTGGTTCTAAATGCTTCGCTGCAACCCAGACTGGTTAGATATTGTATGTGTGCAGACAGTCAATGACGCTTACCCTTCTTAGCTGTGGTGACCACGTAGATTGCTTCGGTTGTGAGGACGAAAAGTGTGGCTGGGAATTCGTATCCGAGGAGCCAGAACTAAGGTAATGCCCCGTTAGTAATGCGATTAGGCGTTGTAGACGATGAAGGGGATGCCATAGAGTCAGGTTAGAGATAAGAACAGAGAATACTCACGTGCATAGCGTTGTTCTTCTGGAACGAGTTTTCCTCATCAGTCTTGCCCATAAGGATGACCATAGACCCTGCATTGTCAAAAAGGGCATTCCCCGAGCGTTTGTCGGCCTTCCATGATGCATACAAGCTGGACAGGCGAGTGAAAAAGGTGTTGCTGTCGATTGCGATATCCTCGGCCATGATGTTCAACGCGAGCAGGATTTGCCGCAATGACGAGGTCGCAGACTAGAGAGAGCTGTTGCAGGTCCAGCAGATGATCCGATGGAGAAGGGTTTGAGATGATGGCAGAATGCAGTAATGTGCAATAGCCGGTGAGGATAAAGGAGTGTTCCTTCTAGTGAGAATTTGAGAGTTGATCTGGATAGATGGAAAGGGTAGAAGGACAGGCTTAGGGGAACGCGAAAAGCGCGTTTTGACGTTTCAGGCCTTAGTGGTCTACCGTGTCAAAGTATTACCCGTTTGGTCTTAGCCTCCTATGTTGGCATATAGCTCTCTGTCTCTTCTCTCGGTCACTCTGCTCCCCTCCAAGCTCACTCGGATATCATTCTTTTTTTTTCCATGTTGAGTACAAGGTCATGTCATGTGTGAACCTTTGGTCGATCGTTTCGTCAACTTGTGATGCCCGCCCCCCTCATCACACCCGATGCTCTCTCTCCAACCAACCTCTGAGCAAATCTCTCTTATGATGTCCGCTGTCGCTTCATGCTTGTGAACAATGAAATCAATAGCTCCTATTATGCTTGAACCTCATCTGGGGGAGCTGGGCAGTCCAAGAAGAAAACCTCGCAATGACGCAGCGACCGGAGTGTCTGCAGCAGGTGTTCGCGCTGTCAGTGCACAAATGGTAGCCTTTTACTTTAGGGCTCCGATAAAGGCATTCTTTCGTACCCGTGTCGAGTAAGTTGATGGATCCTCTGAATGCGTCACGTATCTAATCTTGGTGTTTCAGTTACATGGTATATATATATCTCTCTCGCTGCCTTTGGACTTTTGTTAGAGATAGGCTAATTACAGGCCTTTTCTGGCATCTTTCTTGGAACAGGCATATGCAAGAGCCGTGAACCCTCGCGTTGCCGAAGGCAAATGGTCCCTCCATACAACCACCCCGGGGCTGTTACTCCATGCCGTTCGAACATACGGCTGGCGCTTTATTCCCAATCAAGTCCTACCACCCCTGATGGCAAATGCAGGGTAGGTTTCTTGTCAGTGTATCTATTGCGCCATTCAGACCGTTGACCGTGTCTTCTAGGGTTGGTGCTGTCCTCTATACATCTTACCTCCAAGTACTGGGTTCCCTCCATGAGCCCGTTTCCCAGGGAGCTAAGCGGGTCTGGCCCCCAGCCCCTCCTTCTGCGACGTTCACTGCGGGTTTCACTGCAGGAACAATCCAGTCAATCATCGCTGCCCCACTTGATGCTCTGCAAGTTCGCCTTCAGACCAGTGACATGCTCGAGGGCCAATACCGGAGCATGTGGCACTATGGTCACCAAAAGCTCAAACAGATTGGCCTCCGCGGTGTCTTTGCCGGGTGGAGTCTCTCCTTTTTACGTGACTCGCTGGGCTATGCCATCTTCTTCTCGTCGTTTGAGTACATCAAGTCTCAATCCTACTATTCCTTCGTCACTTGGTACTACGGGTCTCTGCAAACCAATCGAGTGGATATGCTTGCCTCCTCGGAAGTCAGTGAGCGTGGAGTGCCGCTCATCAAGCCTCATTATGCGTTGGAACCCTGCTTCCTCATGATGGCCGGCGTTGTGGCCTCGGTTGCCCAACAGGCGATCCAACATCCGTTGAGTATTATCCAGGATCTCCATTTGGGTCGACTGGAATACCTGGATCACCAAGTTAGCCTCACCCCGTCGCGACAGAAAATGATGCAATTATACTATCATGCATATCAAGAGACCTTCAAACGGTGCACGCGGAAGGCGGCGCGTGTTGGGGGTTGGCGCCCGTGGCTCTTCCGGGGGTTTCTGGGGGGAGCCATCCGCCAAGTGCCAAGTACTAGCGCTGGGCTGGTGATCTTCGAGTTGGTCCGTCGACGATATGCCAGCTTGGCCGACGCTGTCCATATCGAAAAGGATGGATATGACATCTTGCTCACATAGCGTGGGCCTATGGGTCTCCTGGGCCCGGTATACCGTATATGTATATAGATTTCCATGTGAATATAGATGATACCCTTCCAATCCGCCTCGGGGCGTCAAGTCAGCCTACTTCCGTTTATTGCCTCCTCTGTCATGGGTATGCAGTGCATATATATCCATCAGTACGCATGGATACCTCGGTCGGTACCTATGCATATCTCGGTGCATCCGTGGATGTAATGCAGGTACGATATCCAGGCAATATAACAATACCCAATACCAGCAATACCGATACCATACGGACTGTCGATCTCCCCCGGATTCGACTCCACCCGTGACAGTCCCGAAATATAACTGGACTCTTCTCTTCTCTCCAGTCCCTTACTTCATGCCCAAACGCAACCTTGACCCTTCACCTGACCCAACGGGTGAGCCAGTACCGTCGTGCCTGTACGTTGTATACGATCCATACGTAGCGAGCCTCAAGTGGCGCCTGGAAGTGGGGAACCAGCTGACTCCTGATCCTTGCGACCCTCGTGGTCCTTGCGGAGAACCGCCAGCGGTATCAATAACCTCACATTCCTCGGGCCTCAGCCCGTCACCGCCATCATTCTTCCATCCTCCTCACGCGCCTCTCACATACCTCTTCGATCCCTACGATCTGATTCCACGAAGCACCCCAGAGAGAAGGGCAGTCGACGGTCGTCTCTCTCGTCTGCTCGCTCGGCCGAGTCTGGCTTTTCCAGTTGGTCGGACACCGGTGACCTTGCCGAGCAGCTCGCTGGAGAGGATCCGCTGCAGAATCATCTAGAATCGGTCGACCAGGAGCTTCTGGGTCGCCGAGGGCGGAAGAAGTCCAAGACCGTACACTACGATCCAGCCTCCAGCCAACACCGACCGGGGATTGACGTCGAGAAGATTTCCATACCAAATCCACCACCACAGAAGATCTCAAGAGGCGAGCGCGTGCTGGCAGCAATAATGACACCTAGAAATACATCGAGCAACCAGATGCATGGCCTGGTTGGAAAGCCATTGCTGCAAGTTTATCCCCCTCTGGTCCAACACTGGCCCCGCTGATATTGGCTACAGTTACTTCACGAGTGTGTTTGTATCTTTGGGTGTGTTCCTCTTTGGCTATGACCAAGGTGTAATGTCCGGCATTATAACGTTGGTGTCCTTCCAGAGAACTCCCAGCTTAGACGCAGGCAGAGACTAACAGTAGCAGTGGAATGCACTTCAAAGATTATTTCAACCAACCGTCCCGGGCCACCATCGGGACCGTCGTCGCCGTCCTTGAGGTCGGCGCATTCATATCATCCCTACTCGTGGGAAGGGTGGGCGACGTCATCGGCCGCCGGAGAACCATTCTCTATGGCTCGATCATCTTCTTCATCGGTGGTGCCTTTCAGACCTTCGCAAACGGTATTCCCATGATGATGGTTGGGCGTGTCATTGCTGGACTCGGTGTCGGCGCGCTGTCCACCATTGTGCCGGTGTATCAGTCGGAAATATCGGTATCAACCCCCCGTCGCTACAGATAGCGTAAAATCTAGGCAAAGCACTGACAAGACTACAGCCCCCCCACAACCGGGGAAAACTCGCATGCATCGAATTCACCGGAAACATTGCTGGATATGCAACCAGTGTGTGGGTGGACTACTTTTGTAGTTTTATTGACAATGATTATTCATGGCGTCTTCCACTGCTCTTTCAATGCATCATGGGTGCCTTGCTTGGTTTTGGCAGCCTGATTATATGTGAATCGCCTAGGTGAGTAGGTATCGACCCAATACCCAGTACAATAACTAAGCCCCCCGCCCTGCAGATGGCTCCTTGATAATGATCACGACGAGGAGGGTATGGTCGTGATCGCTAATCTTTACGGCGAAGGCGATCTCCTCAATGACAAAGCCCGCCAAGAATACCGTGAGATCAAGATGAACGTTCTCGTCCAGCGACAGGAAGGCGAGCGCTCCTACTCAGACATGTTCCGCCGCTATCGCAAGCGCGTCTTGATCGCCATGTCGGCCCAAGCCCTAGCCCAGCTGAACGGGATCAACGTGATATCATATTATGCGCCTCTCGTGTTTGAATCGGTATGACTGTCCACCCACTGTGATGCCAATTGAAGGCAGTACCGCCTGCTCTCATTTCCCAAAAGTACAGCATCTCCACAAGGTTGTTACTGATCTCATTTCCACACAGGCTGGCTGGGCTGGGCGGGACGCCATTCTTATGACCGGAATTAATGGCATATCATACCTCCTCTCCACGATACCCCCGTGGTATCTGGTGGACGGATGGGGCCGGCGTCCAATCTTACTCTCGGGGGCTGTGGCCATGATCATTTCACTCTCCCTGATATCGTATTTCATATACATTGATATCCCCGCCACACGCACCCTCACGGTCATTTTTGTCATGGTCTACAACGCGGCATTCGGAGCGTCGTGGGGACCTATCCCGTGGCTCTATCCCCCGGAGATCTTGCCTCTGAGCATTCGGGCTAAAGGTGCCAGCCTGAGCACCGCTTCAAACTGGGCATTCAACTGGCTCGTCGGTGAAGTGACACCCGTCCTCCAGGCAGCTATCAAGTGGCGGTTATATTTAGTCCATGCATTTTTCTGCGCCTGCAGTTTTGTACTTGGTGAGTTTCTCGCATTCGCTGCCCTTTCACTAAGCTCACACCTTCCTAGTCTATTTTCTGTACCCAGAGACAAGTGGTGTTCGATTGGAAGACATGAACATACTCTTTGGCGATGCGTCCACCGCGATGCCCACACCTGCCACTCAAGGCGAGCGAGGGTCGTTGATGGGGGCTGGCTCACCTGTTCCCTCCCTGGACCTGCGGCGGCAGTATGGGCAATTCGGAACAGAAAGCTCGATCCCGGGTCTTGACATTGATCCCCCAAGTCTGAGTCCCGATCGACTCAGTAAACGGGGACGTTCAGACTCCCAGCACAGCGGTCCACGACGGGAGGGACTTGGCGGGTGGATCTCAGGCATGGTCAATCGAAACCGGGGAGCCGGTCCCGGGACCAGCAGTCAATATCGGCGTCTAGAACAAGGTGAGGAAGAGGGGTGATTTTGTTTCTGGTAAATAGACCGGCGTGAACCAGAGTGTCAATGACCTTTTTCGGTCTCAACAATTCCAGAGTATAAATCTTTGTATCATGGGTAGAAATGTACCGTCCTGTTGAAGAATGTCGCAGGGACGGAATAGGGAGGGCTGAAAACGGCCCCGACTAAAAGTGGACTTGTTTAGAGGCCACGCTCACTCTTCTTCTTCCCTCTCTCCCCATCTTCGCCCATTTCCTTCGTTTTGGTTATTTCTTTATTTCGATTCTCCTTTGGTTTTCGGTCTTTTTTCATTTCGCTAATTAGCTTAACCGCCCACGGTTCCTTTCAATTTGCCCCGGGGAATGGCTATGTTCCCTTAAGCCTCTTGGTCCCTGAACATCCATTTTGATTGATCGGTGCCTTTTTTCTTCTATTGATCTCAATTACGACGTCCGCCGCCATCAAAGTCATCGCTCTGTCAAAATACCCCCCCCCCCCCCCCCCCCCCCCCCCCCCCCCCCCCCCCCCCCCCCACCCCCCCCCCCCCCCCCCCCCCCCCCCCCCCCCCCCCCCCCCCCCCCCCCCCCCCCCCCCCCCCCCAAAATCGCACCATGGCGGGTCTTGACACTGCCGTGAGCTCCGGTGCCCACCTGGATTCCGACCTGCGTCGGAGGAATGTCCCTGCTTCTAGAGCCAATGTGGACACAGCTCGGACGATCGACGAAGAGAAGAGCAAATCTAAGCAGGTGGGATGACCTGAATCCGCTAGCCGTTCACAACCCGGACTCTGGCTAACCTCCTGAGAATAGTCCCCCTCATTCCTCCATGCCCTCGCTGGGTGGGAGCCGATCATCGTCCCAATCATTCTGACCGCCCTTGCCCTCTTCACTCGACTGTACCAGATCGGCCGGTCCAATATTGTGACCTGGGATGAGGCTCACTTTGGTAAATTCGGCTCTCACTACCTGAAGCGGGAATTCTACTTCGATGTGCACCCACCGCTCGGAAAGATGCTGGTGGGCCTCTCGGGCTATCTTGCTGGCTACAATGGATCGTTCGAATTCAAGTCGGGCGAGAAGTATCCGGAAGATGTGGACTATACCTTTATGCGAGCTTTCAACGCCGCTTTCGGCATCGTCTGCGTCCCTCTAGCTTACTACACAGCTCGAGAGTTGAACTTCCGCAGAGCTACGGTCTGGCTGGTTAGTCTGATGGTGCTGTGTGAAAATTCATACGCGACCATCTCTCGGTTCATTCTATTAGATTCGATGCTACTTTGTTTCACCTTCACCACTACAATGTGCTGGGCAAGGTTCCATCGCCTGCAACGTGCCAGCTTCTCATTGGAATGGTGGACCTGGCTATTCTTGACTGGCTTGAGCATTGGATGTGTCTGCAGTGTTAAATGGGTTGGATTCTTCTGCACTGCCCTTGTTGGCTTGTACACCATCGACGACCTATGGAACAAGTTCGGCGATCTCAAGATGCCACAGGTGAGTATTCAACCCCTTCCACATATGTGCCGCTAGCTCATGCATGAATTTTGTCAACAGGCTGTACTTGCAAAGCACGTCGTCGCTCGCGTTGTGGGATTGATTGTGATTCCGATTTTAGTCTATATGTTTTCTTTCTACATGCACTTTTTGGTGCTTTCGAACAGTGGCCCTGGCGACGCCCAGATGAGTTCTCTCTTCCAAGCTAACCTGCGTGGCACAGAAGTCGGCAGGGATAGCCCCCTCGAGCTTGCAATAGGCTCGAGGGTCACGCTCAAGAATATGGGATATGGAGGCGGCCTTCTACACTCTCACGTGCAGACATTCCCCGAGGGATCCCAACAGCAGCAGGTCACTTGTTACCACCACAAGGATGCCAACAACGACTGGTTCATCTACCCCAACCGACAAGAACCGGACTATAACGCTACCGCGGATCTTCGATTTGTAGGTGACGGCGATGTAATCCGATTGATTCACGGACAGACTGGCCGGAACTTGCATTCTCATGCCATCCCAGCCCCAATTACCAAATCTCACCACGAGGTTTCCTCGTACGGAAACATCACAATCGGAGATGACAAAGATCACTGGAAAGTAGAGGTGGTTAATGACGTTGCATCTCGCGACCGCTCCAGGATTCGGACTCTTACTACAGCCTTCCGGCTCCGTCACCCAGTTCTGGGTTGCTACCTTCGCGCAGGAAATGTCAATCTGCCTCAGTGGGGTTTCAAGCAGATTGAAACCACATGCGCCAAGGAGAACAAGCCTGGCGATGTTTACACCCACTGGAATGTTGAGTCTCACACCAACGACCGCCGTGAGTTACCACAGACATGAGAAGCTCGTGTTACTTGACTGACTCTTGTATAGTACCGCCCGGTGACCCAGGCTCCTACAAGTCGCCATTCTTGAAAGATTTCATTCACTTGAATGTGGCTATGATGACTTCCAACAACGCCCTGGTCCCTGACCCCGACAAGCAGGATGACTTGGCCTCCAAGTTCTGGCAGTGGCCAATTCTCAATGTCGGTCTGCGTATGTGCTCTTGGGACGATAGCGTTGTCAAATACTATCTCCTTGGAAACCCTCTTGTGTATTGGGGAAGCAGCGCCGGGCTTATTGGGTTTGGTCTTTTGTTCCTTTGGCACCTTCTCCGCTGGCAGAGAGGCTACAAGGATCTCAGTAATGATGATATTGACCATATCCATTACTCTGGGCTCTATCCGGTCATTGGATGGGTTTTGCACTACCTCCCCTTCATCATCATGGCCCGTGTGACTTATGTCCACCACTACTACCCGGCCCTTTATTATGCCATTCTGAATTTTGGCTTCTGCGTTGACTGGGCGACACGGAAAATGAACCCAAGAGTCGCCGCCGTGGTGTATGGTCTGCTCTATGTTGCTGTCATTGGCCTGTTCATTCATTTCCGAGCCATTGTCTTCGGCATGGAAGGCTCCAATCAGCAATGGACTCACCTGCGATGGCTACCTGGATGGAAGATTGCAAACCAAGCCTAGGCCCAAGGGACCGAGAAGAGTAGCATCTGATTTCCCTCCATCTCAACTGATTTTGATGTGTCCGATTTTTTTTTCGACACCTCTTGCTTGTCGCGATGGTTCTTGTATCGACGCATGATGCCACTTCACTTTTTATGTTCAGCGAAGTTATCTCATGGAAAATGCAATGAACGTCTCATAACTATCCAGTGCAGACAATTGACTGTGGCCGTCGTAGGTTGTTCTATGTAAGCCCTGGCTGATTGATTTCCAAGCCATTTGTAGCATAGCCTGTGCCTAGGCAAATATTATGTATTACTGGACTTGATTTAGCAGCACCCTCCGCCCCAACCATTGCCTTTGCGCATAGCATCATCCATCCCTAGAGTGACGGTTCTCGGTACCCCGGCATTTGCTCCCCCCGAGGCCCCAAACCCTTTGACGCCGCTGCGACGATCATTCAGGTCGTACCGGCCAGTCTCAATGTTCCGATATATTCTTTCAGCGACTTCCAAGAACGCGCGTTCAACACCGTCCCCAGACTTGGCACTTGTTTCGACGTAGCGGACGACATTGTTCATGTGACACCACTCCTCGGCCTCCTCCCGGGTGACCTGTCTTTGATTTGATCCTGATTCTGTTCCCGATAGATCGCTTTTGTTGCCGACCAAGATCACCACAATGCCCTCTTCGGCGATCTGCCTCAGATCTTGAAGCCACTGGGTACACGATATGAAAGTCGACGGTCTGGAGATATCAAATACAAGAAGTGCACCGGAGGCGCCTCGGAAATATGACCGAGTGATGGACTTGTACGTTTCCTGTCCAGCAGTATCCCACAAGGACAGCTTCATGCGCTTTTGATTGGGTGAGCCTTGTGGCTTTCGCGGAGGTGCCGGCAGGCCAGAACTAGATGCTTCGGGCGAATGTGCCTGCGATCCTGGCGCAGGCTCATCAAGGTCCAGCTCTAGAGAAGCCGGAGGGCCCACCGGCACAATTCGTGATCCAAACTCCACCCCAATGGTGACATCGTGAGATGGGGAAAACCGGCCTTCACAGAGCCTGACAGTGAGCTATCCCAGTTAGCGTTGACCGTTCCCCTGCAGCGACCGGACTTACGCTGGACTTGCCGGTGCCGGAGTCACCAATGCAGACAAGCTTAGCAATATAATCCCATGGCTGTGACATGGAGAGCAGAATACGAGTGAGAGATGAAAACAAAGCGGAGATGTTGGAACTTATCAGCTGCTGAGTAAGCTATCGGGGCCTGACGTGCCCGTATGACGCTTTCACCTGCGTGACTATCTCGGCTTCAACTCTCCCTTTCTTTAGAAACTGACCGCTCAATATTAATCTCTGCCCTCTCTCTGTATCTCTCTCCCTCTGTCCTTCCCTGTTGCTCCCAGTCCCCTCTCTATCTATAATCCCCCAACGTACTTGAATCTCATCCTACACTGATCATTCCGTCCTCACCGTACTTTCCATTGCCGAGAAGGAGATGTTTTCTGAATGTAGGGACTAGACCTTAGGGATTGAGAATTGCATGGCTAACTTCATCGTCTAGATGCCTCCCGGTTCCTCGCTCAGTCACAGTCACGAATAAATGCCCAACCGGACGAGCTACAAAGAGCAGCCCGTGGCCGCCCCAATACACAAGGCAATCCTCGACATCCTTCATCCCGCCACTTCTTGCGACCGAGTGACCCCTATCGTACTCCAGGCTCGCAGGCTTCTCATTTTACTCTCGCCTCCCGGGGTATGGCCCAACCGGCGCCTCTCTTCTTCAGTGCTACCGATGAATTTCGAGAAGAGGACGATGAGACCGAACGCGAGAGAGAAATCGCAGACTTCTATGCACTTCAGCGATCAAGACGGAATTTTGGCGACAGTAATTTGAAGGACTCGTCGGAACTGGAGGACTCGGGGCGCTCAGGACTTGACGAAAGTTCGCCATACGACGAGCGTCCTGGCCATGGCAAAGGCATCAAGAGCTCATGGCGGGGAGAGAGAAGCATACCGGCTACCCATTCATTTCCGATTGAACCGGTGGCCGAGACCACCGAACGCGGGTCGGAATTCCATGCCAGCCCCAGCAGTAGTAAAGTCCGCGGTCATTTAGTCGATGTCGGCCTGGAAGACTCACTGCGAAATGACATCAATGACGACCTAGCATCATCCACCCCAAGTGCCCATGATCCACCAGTCCAACGATTTCGAGAACGTGCTCCCTTGCGGGAGCTGGGGGCTCACCCGCTTGACCCCATTCAAGAGCAAGGCTTTTCATCCCAACATGGATCGCGGCCACCTAGTTCGACAGGCTCATTCCCGGTCTCAGTATCGCCTCTGGCCTCAGAGAATATAGTGCATGATGCTTTCTGGGGTCATTTGTTCTTCATATCACTCGCAGGCTTATTTGCTTCTGCCTTCCTGGTGTACTTGCACACATCCACTCCATCAGGGGACAAATCAAAATGGGGCGATACAATATACTTGACTGTCCATGGGTCATTCTTTCTACTCGGGGTCTACACTCTTGTATCAATTCTTGTCTCTCTTCTTTGGCTTGCGTTGCTACGATCTTACGTTCGACTGCTGGTCCATGTGATCATAGTCGCTGTCCCGGTCATCCTCTACTCGTTCTCCCTGTACCCCTTTATCTCAAGCTTCAAGGGGGCATGGCATGGGTCGAGTGTACAAGATAAGGCCATGAGATGGGGCTCCATTCTACCGTTTCTCATAGCTACGCTGTGGATTTATAACGTCGCTCGCGGCCGCCAGAACATCGGAAAGGCCATCGGCATCCTTGAATTCGCCTGCCGGATCCTGGGCGCCAACCCAGAATTACTTGCTCTAGGCCTGGCTTCCCTCGTCTGCGTTGTATCTTGGACATGGATCTGGATGCTCATGTTCACTCGAGTTTTCCTGGGTGGCCATCTCACCAGCTCCCGATCTTTTATTATTGACGCGGGCAGCTGGTGGCTCGGCATGTACTTCGTCCTCGTATACCTATGGTCTGTCGGTGTTATTGCGGGCGTGCAACGGGCTGTCACAGCAGCAACTGTGAGCCAGTGGTATTTCCACCGTCTAGCAACACCCGCCCCGACCTCCCGGCAAATTGTCCAGGCGGCTGTCACCCATGCAGCCACGACCCTTTTCGGCACAATCTCGCTGTCCCGACTCTTGGGCCTGCTGGTTCGATTGCCTCTGATCGTACTACCGAGCCGCCTCGCCTCGTTAATTAGCCTGTTTGCATACTCTTTGGTCCCCACCCCCATCACTTACTTGACCAATCCCCTATCGCTCAGCTATGCGGCAATTCACTCGCAGCCTCTTAGTGCCTCCTCTCGGGGACTCAGTCAGATGACCGTCCTTGCCCCATCAGCGGCTTCGACCTCTCTACATCCCCGGTCTTATTCACGATCCCCTGATTCCGGGTCTCTTCTATCTTACCGACTCTCGAAATTGATTCTCTACGCTGCCCGCTTCATGATGTCGTTGGCGCTTGGATTTGGTGGCTGGGTGACCACCGCTCGGAGCCTGACAAGCTCTGACACCGGCAACAGTTTCCGCGGCAGTCTCTATGCCTACGTGGTCGGTCTGATTGCGGGCACGATCGGATGGACCACCCTCGGTGCAGTGGAGGGTGTGATCGCTGACATTGTAGATGCCGCTGTAATTTGCTGGGCAAGTGAGGTTGGTATCTACGGACGAGAGGCACGGTACTGTCGTGAAGCCGGTTGGCTCTTCGGTGATTCGCAGTCCCGGTTTGGGCACGAATATCAAGAGGTCTAAGTTTACGTGCCTTCGTTGAATCCCGCATCTCCTTTGCTCTTATGGTTATGACATGTGCACGGTCTTTTCTTTTTCTTTCCACTGTACATTTTGAGCGATTCTGGTGTTTTCAGGGTTTTATTAGCGGAATTTGACACTTATTAGACAATTCGGGTTCCACATGTTTCTGCATGCATTACACGATATGACTGTGATCTACTCTTGGCAATGATATTGGGTTTCTCAAAAAGAATGAATTCATTTGCGTTTCCCGTGGTATATTCGAACTGCAAGTAACTACATGAAGATCCAGGGCTCGTGGTATCATGAAGGATAAAAATAGAAGATCAACGAGAGAACACATATCTGCAAGTCAAATAGCAGATATTGAAGATTAAAGACCCAGACGCCCGTTCCACTCTACACGCTCCTTTGCGCACCACTCCTTCAAGAAGGACCAGCTGAACCGCACGACTTCAATTGGTGGAGTGAGGCTACTAAACGGTAGGAAGTAGCTGCCGGAATAGTCTCCAGCTCGGAGGGACGGCCGACCTCGTTCGGAGAAGTTTCGAGATCGCTGAGACCAACTCGTGGGAAACTCACGCTCCAAGGTATCTTCAGAAAGGCCCCGTGTGCCCTCTAACCATAGCCGCTGGGAATCTTTATAGCTGTCCAACAGCCGGCCCTTCAGATCCGAGAAATCTTTCCGGAATTTCTTCTCATCTGGCGGAATGGCATTGCCGTCACTGGTAGGTGTAGGTATCGGGGTATGCTCCCCAGGGGCTGGCAGCATCGCAAGACGTTCAAGGTCAAGAGCATGAATTGCACCAAGGGAAACTGCTCCAAGAAGCAGACAGACGTGATTCAAGGCCGGGAACTGTGAAGTGTTCTTCTTGACCGCACGCCAATACGCCAGTATTGATACCCAGGTTGAAGAATCCCCAGCCTGCCGTTTCAACACCCGGGCCTGGTCGTGGGCCACAAATGCCAGAATGAAGGACAACAAGGCTTCAATCGCAGTCACTGCGGCAAGCTTCTCATCAGTTGCCGAGGCTCCATGCTTATTCGTATATCGTTCAGCCGCATGTTTGAGCTCACGGCCCAGGCCGGTAAACTTCTGCCATTCATCGGTCCAGACCTGACGCTCGTGGCGTGCGCGACTATCTGTCTGCGTCGGCGAGGCTCTCGCAGTCGACCCAGGGTCAACTGAATGGCGTTTATTGGCTGGGTGAGACGGAGTTTTGCTCTCACTCTCTGTAGGGTCATTTCGACGAGGTGGTTTGGGGTCCTTGGTCATGGTGGCGGATGATGTCTTTGTTTTCTCGTGTGCGACCGAATGAAGCGTGGGTGGGTGAGGAATCGGTGTCCGAGGCTTTTCAGTGATGCTCTTCTGCTCTTTTGCGCGCCTATCCCGAACACCCATTGGTTCTTCCGTCTCGTGATTTTTGCTTTTTGCGCCTCCGATGCGAGACGGCACGCCATCGTCTCCCCTCCTAGACGACTCGTCGCGATCAGTGTCCTGGCTGATCGGAGAATCTGAACGATGGCTTTTCCGTTTACCATTGAACTTGAGCAGTGCTTCAACGCGCTTCCTGTTCGCCCTTCCATAACGCAGTTTGGTGACGAGTCGTACCTTAGGATGGTCAGCGCGGGTGTGGTCTCTTGGCTTATCCCACTGGCTGTTGTCTTTGGTCGGTAATGTTTTCTCTGCAACATTTGGTTTGCTGCTCCGGGGCGACACACCGCCACCCAGGCTCGCCAGTTCCCTTTCGATATCCGGTGGTAACGTTGGTGATAAGAGTCGCGGGAGTCGAGAGCCAGTAGGCGTTGGCGGAAGGGTGGGTGACAGAAGCGCGGGCAGTTTGGAGGGGCTATGATCTCGGCGCGTGTCTTTTTCGGGTGAGAATCGTTGTTTCTTTGGCGAGTGTGCCTCGGAGTCTTTGGTCCCTCGCGGGATAAGGGATTCACGCTCCGAGCCCGGTGGACGTTTTTGCCCTGCGCGATTTGGGGGGGAACGGCGCATGGACGGCTTTGGTGGGATTTGTGTGCTTTCCGTCTTGGGAATGTTCTGATGGGGTTCTGAGGAGGTCGTCTGTTGTTGGCCTTCGGACTTGGTTGAGTCTGCCGCGCCTCGACTGCCCACATGGGGGCCCATAGGGGATGCGACTGCACCACTCGTCTTCTGGTGCTTGTAGTCCTTTAGGCTGATCTTTTTTTTGGTTCCGGTGGCATCTCTTGAGCTTTCAGTGGTGCTTGGGTCAGTCGATCGATCGGCCATCATGCGCCCCGTTTCATCCGACCAGTCCCCAACAGCTACAAGCAATGAGTCGGTGTCGTGATGGCTTAGAAAGGTCATATACTGAAGTTGCTGCTCCTCCACACTGAAGGGCCTGTCATGCCCGACAGCCCAATTTCCCGTAGCTCGGTTCCCCAGGTGGAAAGGCGCATTCGTCGGGAACGTGAGAATATAGGGGACCGGGGAAAGAACCTCGTCAGAGAGGCGCTGTAGGCGTAGGTCAAGCGCTTGACGGTCCGACTCCGAGGAGCTCGTAGCTGGAGGGGTTGGTGTATGTTGGGATTGGCGCTTCTCGTTCACCGACATCGCAGTGCGCGGGGTTTCGCGACGCTGACCAGATACGACCAAATCGCACACGGCTTGAAGACCAAAGCAAGTCCACAGCGTGTATGTTGTGGGTTTGTCGCAATATTATGAAACCTCGGTCAGACCATTGAAGGGTAGGTAAAGTCCAGAGCCTTGTTCAGGAGCCAAACGATCAGGGCATCCCCCGACGCGGTGATCCCATAACCTCGAAGAGGATGAAGTCGCGGCACAATTGCTTGACAAGCAAGAGGTGAACAAAGGGAAGGTCACAATGAGAGGGTGACTGAGACGATGATGTCCCCCGGATAGAATGAAAGAAGATGGAGTTGGAGAAGGTTAGCTTCCGCCCGTTACGGTGTTATCTTATCGTTACCGTCTCAGCATTACCGGTAATTTTTCGATTTCCCCTTTGCCCTTGACTCTCGACTCTTGACTCTTCTGTTTATTCTTCTCTATATACCATCGTGAATATATACTCTGTCATGACCGATCACCTGCTGCAAACTTGTCTTTCCAGAATGCCCGGAAATGATACGATCCTCCAACCTTCGAGATCTCCTCCACCTCTTGGGGGGTCAACTTGAAGGTCAATGATCGCAGATAGCTGCTCATGCGGGTCTCTTTGCCACTAGTGGTGATCGCAATACAACCACGGTCGAGATTCCAGCGGAGCAAGACCTCCGACTCGTCCACTCCATATTTGGTGGCCAAGGAGGAGAGCAACGGGTCCAGTGGCCCGCCTTTGGCACGAACCGCCGGAGTCAACCCCGCGAAACTGACGGTCTTAATGCCTTGACTCTCGTGGTAGGGAACCAAATTTCCATGTTGCAGGTAAGGGTGGAACTCAATCTGGTTCACCGATGGCACCACCTTGGCCGTTTTGAGGATAGCTTGCAAGTGGCTTTGCAGGAAATTTGACACTCCAATCGATCGAGCATATCCAGCAGCCTTGACTTGTTCCATGGCAGCCCAGGCGGCCTGGAGCTCCTCGTCTGTCTTTGCAAAGAACGGGGCGTGGATCAGGTACCTTCGGGCGTTAGTTCGTGGTTGCGCCCCACACGGTTCCCTTCGCACTTACAGATCCACATAATCCAGCTGGAGCTTCTTCAGACTGCTTTCCATGGCATATGGGATATCAGCAATGTTGGTGATTACTTTGGTCGTGATGAAGAGCTTCTCTCGAGGGATGCCGCTCTCTCTGATTGCGAGCCCCAGTTCCTCCTCCGTTTGGTACACTTCCGCCCCGTCGAGGTGGTGATAACCCAGCTTGGTTGCCGTGGTGAGAGAGTCTACCAAGTCACGATTGATTCCACTGTCTGTTCTCTTGTACCATGCCGTGCCAGTGCCATACCCAATCTATGAGGGTCAGACATTGCCTAAGATCTGGTATGTTGGTACTTACCACCGGGACCGAGGTACCATCATTGAGGTCCACCGTGGGGACAGATGAGATAGTGCCTGCCATGGCTTAGAGAGGTTCAAGACACTGCGATCGGAGTCGATTGAGAGAGATACATAGAGGGGGAGGGGAACATAGCTCTTGACTCCCCCGTTACTAGTCGTACCCGCAGATTAATAATGTCCATTATGTCATTTCGGCTAGGCGCTTCATCAAGACTCCGTCGCAATCCCCTCTGAAAAGCACTCCGATTCGTATCCTCTATGAGTTTTCGACTGGTGAATACCCGGTTGACCCTATTGCCGCGACATCGGCTGAGTCAAATGGCTTCCCACTTCTCCAGCGACGCGGGAGTCTCCCTCACCGCGTTGCCCAAGTCCAATGTATTCACTTCCAAGTTACCCGCAGACCCGGCCTTTGAGACCCCAGAGTCCTCGCATAGTGCGCCGCGGGAGACTCTGGGCCCGCGCATGGTCAAGGGAGCTCTGTTTACCTATGTTCGTCCGGAGCCAGCCGAAGGATCCGAGCTGCTGAGTGTCAGCTCGAAAGCTATGAAAGACTTGGGGCTGAGGTCTGGAGAGGAGAAAACCTCGCAATTTCAGGCATTGGTCGCCGGAAATGAGATCTGCTGGACTAAGGAAGGTGGAATTTATCCGTGGGCGCAGTGTTACGGAGGTTCGCCCCCCCCCCCCCCCCCCCCAAGTTTCTGTTGAACGGAGAGGCTAACTGGCATAGGATGGCAGTTGTAGGTCTAGGAATCACAGCCTTAGACCTGCTCTTAGCTGACATACCGCAGTGGTTCGTGGGCTGGACAACTGGGGGATGGAGTAAGTCGACCCCGTGACCGTGGAAGACCTCGATCCAGATGGCTCATATGATATTCAGCGCGCAATCAGTCTTTTTGAATGCACAAACCCGCACACAAACAAGCGGTATGAGCTACAGTTAAAGGGAGCTGGCAGAACACCCTATTCGCGTTTTGCGGACGGCAAAGCGGTGCTTCGATCCAGTATCCGAGAGTTCGTGGTCTCCGAGGGTAGGTGCAGTACGCCTTGTTCTGAGAGGACTTCGCTGAAATCTGAAAACTTCCAGCCCTCTCTGCTCTTGGTATTCCAACCACACGAGCACTCTCACTTACCTCGGTCCCAAACGCAAAGGTCTTGCGAGAGCGTCTAGAGCCAGGTGCAATCGTTGCCCGGTTTGCCGAGTCTTGGCTCAGAATCGGCACTTTCGATCTGCTGCGTGTTCGTGGAGATCGTGAGTTAATGCGCCAACTGGCCACATACGTCGCAGAAGATGTCTTTGGTGGGTGGGAATCCCTTCCCGCTGCTGTGTCACTTCGTGATCAATTATCCTCTGCCGAAATCGACAACCCTGCAAGAAACGTTCCAAGTCAAGATGTACAGGAGCACCAGGGTATACAGGAAAATCGATTCGCCAGGCTTTATCGTGAGATTGCTCGTCGTAACGCAAAGACGGTGGCTGCGTGGCAAGCCTACGGTTTCATGAACGGAGTGCTCAACACAGATAACACCTCTATCTACGGTCTCTCATTAGACTACGGTCCGTTTGCATTCATGGACAATTTCGATCCCACTTACACTCCAAATCATGATGACCACATGTTGCGGTACAGCTACCGCAATCAGCCCAGCATCATTTGGTGGAATTTGGTTCGACTCGGCGAGTCGCTTGGTGAGCTAATCGGGGCCGGGGGCCGGGTAGACGACGAGAGCTTTGCGAAGGATGGAGTATCCGAGGAACTCGAGCCCGAACTTATAAAACGCGCAGAGAACATCATTGAGCGCACAGGCGAGGAGTTTCGGGCTGTGTTCTTGAATGAATATAAGCGGCTGATGTCCCAAAGACTTGGGCTCAAGACCCAGGTTGAGTCGGACTTCCAAATCCTGTTCTCGGAAATGCTCGACACCCTCGAAGCTCTTGAGCTGGATTTCAATCACTTCTTCCGCCGTCTCTCGGGGGTTCGGTTATCCGAACTGGACACCGAAGAAAGCCGAAAAGACGTAGCGTCGGTGTTCTTCCACGCCGAAGGCTTCGGTGGGATTGGATACACCGATGATACAGCTAGGGATCGCATTGCCAGGTGGCTCGGTAGCTGGCGGGCTCGAGTTCTCGAAGACTGGGGCCCGGGAATGGACGAACAAAGGCAGATTGCTATGAAATCGATCAATCCCAACGTGAGTGTATTCCAAATTGCAATGTTTAAGACGTGATGCTGACTGGTTGCTCCTAGTTCGTTCCTCGAGGCTGGATCCTCGACGAAGTTATTGAGCGCGTTGAGCGCAAGGGAGACCGAGAGATCCTTGGCCGAATCATGACAATGTCTCTGGACCCGTTCAAAGACCAATGGGGTGTCAATCTGGAGGAGGAACAGCGCTTCTGTGGAGATGTTCCCAAGTACAAGAGAGCGATGATGTGCAGTTGCAGCTCGTAGTCAACTGGCAGTGATCCAGTTGTCGATATCGAGGCAACAGAAAACATGATGTACAGATTTTTGAAGTTTCCTCGTTTTCACAATTAGTTCTACGCCGTGGTCACTGACTACTGAACCACTCCGCGCAGCAGGCTCGGAACTACGAAACATACATCAGCTGGGATATCCAGATAGCAAATACGAATATTTGCAGGGTTCCCCTGCTTCCCCATTTGATGCGCGTAGCAAGAAGAAAAACGGAAAAAAAGTCCGGGAAACCAAACTCGGCGTCAGGTAGATCATGTCAACCTTGTCAGGCGTTGATCTCTAATCATACATTTTCAAGTAAAAAGGGAAATTCGTTTCGTGCATGCATGAAAAATGTCGTCCGATCCCATGGGAAGCTGTAGAAAAGATGTCGACCAAGAGAGCGATGCAAGCGATAGACATCTTAGTTGGGGCAGGCAGACTGGACGTGACCAGGCTGCTTGCACTTGTAGCACATACGCTCACCCTTGGCCTCGGTAGGGCAGTCACGGGAGACGTGACCGACCTCGCCGCCTGGTTTACAAGTTAGCAGCAAGCTCGCGCGACCTGGTGTACATATCATATACTGACAGTTGTAGCACTTCTGTCCCTGGGTGCAGTCACGGGCCATGTGGCCGAAACCACCGCACGAGTAGCATGTTTGCTGACGACCGCCAGGGCCGCCAAAACCACCACCGAAGCCACCGCCGTATCCGGAGCCGTAGTTACCGCCCTGGGAGCAGTGACGCGCGATGTGACCAACCTGTCCGCACTTGTAGCATTCTTGACTACCACCGCCGCTGTAGTTGCTGTCGCCACCCTGGGGGCATTCACGGGAAAGGTGACCGGTCTGTCCGCAGCGGTAGCAAGACTTCTCCTTGGCGGGCTCCTGGCATTCACGGCCTTTTGACGTCAGTTAAGTCCTTGTGAGAGAGATTCTGACTAACTTACTCAAGTGGCCCTGACCTGTCAATCATGGGTTCATTAGTAATTGAACACATCAGCTTATGGTAATGTGAGAATCATACCGCCGCAGTTGTAGCTATTGCGTCCAGTTAGCATATAAGTTCTTGATGATCGAGCAGAGCCATTACCAGGTGGGGTTTCCCTTCTTGGGGCAGTCCTTGGCCTAGTAGAAATCGATTAATTCCGTGTTCATGTGAATACCAATCTTGAAGATCCGGATATCGAGTTGTACCTGGTGAGCAGCCTCGCCGCCTGTCAAACGAAGTCAGCACATATTCCAATGTTCCTGCCCCAATCAAGCCATCCACACCTTGAGCTTCCCTTGAGAAGCTCTCCAGGCTGGAAGGAGAACATGACGTATTGCAACCAATGCCACTGGCAGAGAGTAGAGAGAGAGAGAGATAAAAAAAAAAACTCACAGTTGAAACAACCGCCACCACGTCCAGCAGGGAAATCCATTATGTGAGATTGAGATATAGATTGAAGGGTTTGAAAAAGAAGAGAGCCAGAATAGAAGTCTCAAGAGAAAAAAAAAAAAAAAAAAAAAGTCGAGTGAGACTCTGAAAAATATTGTAGTGCGGGGGGGGGGGAGAGAAATCTTCCCGCGATACGACTCGCTTGACCGCCTAAATCAAGAACATCTTCTGCTTTCGTTCATCCATATCACTCGCCTTATTTCGCTCGTTCAACTCCTCTCAAGGATTTCAGACTAGTGGATCTTGCATGGTTCGAATGGTTCGACAATCCAATGTTCTTCCGAGTTCTGTTTAGCCGCTTCTCATGCAGGCCGCCTCACGGCCTCACGGCGTCGCGGGGTCGACAGGGCGTGGGAGGCCATAATGATGGAGGAGGCGAAATCTTCCGGGCAGTGACAATACTTATACCTTTTCCATGTCCAGGGTCCCCAGTCGGGGTGGATTGAGTACCTTGTGCTACGGCCGGGTCTGTTATTGGCCGAAGTAGCATCACGACGTCACTGCTGATGCAAGACTAGCCCGTTATCAGATCGTCGCTTTTGATGGTTTGCAATGTTGGAAGTTGGGGGATTTGGAGGTTTGGAGTGTGTGTCAGGTGAAGTCGTAGCATTCAAGGAGCTGTGTGCCTACTCCTTTCTCGCGAAGGAGGAGTACTCTTTCTTCGTCAAACCCGACACAGTCTTGTATTATAGACAGCGGGCTGGTCTCTTGGCTTTTGCTATTCAAGCTTTCCGAAAGCGTCCTTGGAAGTGCGGGCGCTGGCTCATGTTTGCTCCCCGCGCTGAGTTGGATCCCATGCTCCTCCTTGGGGGCCTTACGGGTGCCCAGGGAGGATATTGCCGTCTCCAGCTCCCAAATCCGGATTTCATCTCCCCGGGAGCTGACCGAAACAGCCTTTCCGCGTTTGGTTACCTGAACCGCAGAGACGGACGAAGTGTGGCCCCAAAGCCGTCGGCCCCCTTGCACGAATAGATCGTCCGCCGTAGAGACCACAAGATACATTGTTAATGTGTTGTCAGCATGAGAGGTTAGTAAGTATGGATGCGAATAAGACAGGGAGGTTGGTGGCTGTTGGTGGAGAATGAACGGTGCACCAGGGGTGGATTGACTTTGACCTGGCTCGGCAGAGTGTCGCTTGCTGGGCTGTGAGCCTCGAGACGGCCGTACACCATATTGAGAATCCACCGTTGTTGCCAGTCGAGAATCAAGCTGTTGACCATCTTTGTTCAATCGGAGCTCCTGGATTCCAATAGACCACCCACAACCGATGTGGAAGAAACTGTACACAACGGTGGCGATAATATCAGACTGTGACACTCTCAGGGACAAAGTCATAGGGGCCAAAATGTTGTCTGCTTTGAGGGAGGCAAGTTGGCGAGGCGTAGCGGCTCCAGAATACTGCCATTTTTGGTGGCTGCCATGGTGCATGTCGTATAATATCAGATTCGTATACTGGGACACCACTAAGAGGTATGACGTGGACATGGCCATAGCGGTTATGGCCCCGTTGCAGGCAGCATAGGAAGACTGCAGCGCCAACTTGGAAGTTTGTGGATCCAAAAGGAACAGACTGAGATGGCCGTTCTCGGTTCCCACTGAGATCACAATATTCCCATAGCTTTGACTTACTGCCAAAGCAGTTGGGTTCACAGGCGAATTCGGTCGAGTTGACAAAGAGACACTTGCTAAACAGCTGGCAGGGTCATTGGCGGTCCATGCCCTCAGGCCACATGCCGAGTCTACCGTAAATACAATACCGGCACAGAACCTGACCAGTGTGGGAGGGCATGGTGGCTCCGGGAATTCAACCTCGGTCACCCGGCATAGCCCTCTCGACCAATTGTGCCGGAGTCGGTACTGTCGTTTCCAATTACCCTCGTGCTCCAAGTGCCCATGATCAAACCAATTCGCCACCCTGGGAGAGTAATCCGCTCTGGCTGGAAGCGTTGTACGTTTAGAATTGGCAAGGCGGCGGGCACGGGGTTGCACCCATTGGGAGTAGTATTGCCTTTTCCATAGCTCCGAGTCACCACCGAGAGCGTGGAAGCGATGGGATAGCCTAGTTATTGTAGCAGATCAGCGCGAGTAACACAGAGAGAGGGATGACAAGATACCTTTGACAGATATTTAAAGAGGATACCGACAGGAATGAAAGGATGTGGAGGAGCAACTCATTGCTCAGACCTGATAAGCGATCCACTGATCTCAAATCAACAGTCCGAATACGCTTAGGAGGTAAATCGGAATCAGAACGGTCTCTGCGTCGTTTTGACATACCGACGAGGAGAGTACAGTCCGAAAGAAGAAGAAGAAGCCCTGGAGACGTTCGAGAAGACGCAAGTCGGTGAGTGGCTCCGTGGGGCTTATCGATAAGCCCCGGAACGCGTCCACCTGTGGGCACGGGTCTTCGCGTCCTGCGGTTCTCCGTCTCTACATGGGCGCCAGGGCTACTTGACTTCCAGTCCTTCCCAGATATGAGCCTGGATACGCTCGGCAATGATGGAAGTCATAAAAGAGCTGCATGACGCCGTGGCCAAAGCCTGTGAGACGTCGTTCGACAATGCGTATCAGCAGCTGAGATCACAGCTCGAGGCACAAACCAAAGAGGCAGCAGCCAAGCATTCGGCAGCTCTTGCCGCTCAGTGTAAAGCAGATACTACGATTGAAGACCTTCGGCATCAAATTACTCTACTTCGGAGTGAACTCAAGCAAAATGAAGTCGAGTCACGAAACCACGAACTTCCCAGGCAATACGCCAGCCTCGAAGCGGAATTTGACCCCAAAAGTCTTTGGGGCGAATCCCTGGAAGGTGGCCATTTTGATACCCCAAAGGCACGTAAAAGATTCGAAGCAAAATACACGGCGCTTTACACAAACCTTCAGACCTTTCTCAAATCCTGGGGTGATCTTAAACGTCAAGTCCGACGACACAAAGAAAAACTGCAGCAGTGGGATCAGCAGCTGAAACATGATGGGTTCACAGTGATTCTGAATGGCCAGAAGGTCAAATACTGTAAAATGAAAGGGCCTGACCCTGATGGCCGCAACCAGATGGATTCAGAAAGCAAGCAATGCTCTTTGGGGAAACGGCCCAGGGAAGAGGATCCGGACCTGCCTCTCAAAACGTTCAAAGCTTCACAAGAGCAAGCTTTTCGAAGTGACGTGGAGGTGGGACACAACGCCAAAAATGATTCCTTGGCAACAGAACTGGCGTCCACTCAATCCAGCTCTCCCGGGCCTTCAACGGGCAATCCAGAGTATTTTGATACAAAACTCTCAGTCGACATCCGCGGAAACCACCAGGGAAAAAGGGCACCCTCCGCCACGATTTCTAAGGCGTCTCGCGCGCATAGTCAACGAGATGATGCCGGTTCCCTGCACCCCGTACAAATTAAGAGAGAAATCATGTCCTCAAGCCCAATCCGAACTTCAAATTCCAGTGATTGGCCTTATATTGGCACACAGGATCTGGATGACATAGGGGATACAATACAGACACCCACGAAAAGAAAACCCCATCGGAACGATCACGCGACAGACACCGAGGGTCTGGAGAAGCGAGGGGATTATGCAAACCACTCGGCTCAGTTCCTATCAGGTCAAAATATACATGCGCCGTCATCCATTCTTCAAGTGATTGACGGAAATGCGTGTACTCCCACGCTTTCCAACCGAAAATCTTCCCCCAAACACCTTGAAGATTTGGAGCGACGAGCAATACCTGCCATGGCGGAGGATGGCGATAACCTAGTATCTGCTCGGTATCCTCTGAATTCTGGCACTAAGACCAATCGTGGCCTGTCGGAAGCGAGAACCAGGACTTTGGCCCAAAAGCGTCTAGAAGATTTGCTTGAGCGCTCGACTCCCACAAAATCACTACTTCGGTCCTCGAGATCCGGGCCAGGTTCGAATTCAGCACAGGCGGATTTTGTGCCCCAGCATGGCCACCTGACATCAATGACCTCTGGCGAAATCGCGCCAGATGTGGATCCTAATGATGAGCCGTACAGGGCAAGGCCCCTCGGCGTTCTTGGGCTGGGGCACTTCAAAATCAACCCTGCAAGAAACCAAGGACTTGACTTTGCATACAACACAGTGGTTCGGAAGAAAGATGACCGCAAATGCATTTCCGGGTGTACGCGCCCAGGGTGCTGCGGGGATCGGTTCCGCGCTATGGCCCGCCTTGGAGGCCTCCCGGGGAAGTCCGGGGTGGAACAACGAGAAGAAGAGGATGAGATGCTGCGCGAATTCGTGGGAGAAGACAGGCAGTTGCTAGAAACACTGAGCGGCGATGAACGGGCGAATATTCTGGTTGAAGCCAGAGCCAGAGCCCTCGCCAATCAATATGGACGGCACAGACATACCCACCAGCGTGCCCAATCTCCCCCTGGGTTCTGGCGAACGGATATGCCAAGTACACAAGAGGAAGAGCTTGACCGTGAAGCTGCCAGAGGACAGGAGCGAGAGAAAGTAGAGGAGCGATATCGCGAGGCCATGCGCCCTGGAGGAATGTGGATGTTTGCGGATGAATAGTGGCATCAGTGGAGATCAGATGTATAAATCATACAAAATGCAATATTGAAGTTGCGATGAATCTATAATCGGGTCCATTGATCAATGGCATAACAACAACCATAAGGGAAGTCCTTCTGGGTGAAGTCGTGAGGTCGTGAAGATGAAGTATAGAACCATCAACCTCGGCCCAGGCGTCTTGGCAGACGCGGACCCACGTGCCCCCCTTGTGAACTTCCTCCGTCGACTTCATCGTTTCCATCGCTCAGGAGCGCAATCATGGAAACCGTCCGAAATATTCAAAATCCAATACCCCCGGCGCTTCTGAAGCCTTCCAAATGGCTTTCTATATATGAGGACTTTGTCACCAAGAATGCAAGCTCGGTGGGTCAAGTCGAATCTGCGCTGAGATCCCTGACGTACATCATCCCAGGTGAGAGTTCCTCGTTTGGATGGCAAAAAATATGGACTCATAGTCTCTACCAGGTCGCTATCGTGAATCAGAGATACCCTCAGAATGTGGTAAGTGGACCTAGATTGGGTATTCGAATGAGCGCGTCGGCTGACACCTCCAGTACACTCCGGCGTCCAGTTGTTATCGCTATACCATGACTCGTTAGTCTCCAAAGTAGTTGATCGGCTTCCATCAACCGTGCCTCGGTCTCCACCTACTCCTCACTCCCGATACACTAAATACTGGACGGCCCGGTCCTCGCTGTATCGCAAGGTTGCGCTTGCGCTTCAGATGCTCCAGTATACCGAGCTTCTGTGGGAGATGGCTGCACGGCGACGAGGCCAGAAGACTCGGTGGCGCGTGGTTGTCTTCATTGAATTTGCAAAGGCAATATGCCGCTTGCTTCTTCTTCGGTTAACCAATTCCAGACCCTTGGTCAGCCCACCCCTTCCAGAGCGCGAGGTCGACCCGAGAACCACAGAGGAGGAGCCCCAAAGCGATTGGAATGGAATGGATAATCCTGTGGGTGATCCGTCTTCTGACATGAGTTGGACGATGCCTCGGACCGGGCTCTCTCTACCGTCTCTTCCAGAAGTGAACGACGTGTCAAACTATCTTATCTCCAAGGTGCTTACAGCGGATGACATCAAGCCTCCAAAGGCGCTTCTTCATCGCGCCACCGGGCAAGGACAGATGGCCGAAGTGTTTTATATTCTCCGACCTGTCATCTACGCATTGGCGATGCAAAGATGGAGAAACGACAAGCGAAGCTGGCGGCCATGGCTCATTGGGTTTGGAATGGAGTATGGGTGTCGCCAGCTTGCGAAACGTGACTTCCGCGAGAGAGTTGCCGGGGGTCTCCGGGGGCTCACGGGTCTCGAACGGGACGAATTGAAGAAGCGTGGATGGTCGATGGGATGGTGGATGATGCGCGGTGCCTTTTATGAAAACATCACCAAGTAAGATACTCTTTCACCCTGGAGACTTTTGGACCCCAACTAACGATTGCGACCCAGGTCTTGGCTCCATAGCATTACTGGAAAGATGAAGGGCAAGCCTTTACTGGATTTGGTGGGCAGCATTGTTGATGACTATGAGTACCTCTGGGATAACTTCTATTTCTCGACAGCGACACTCTGATCGCCGCAGTGAGCCCGGATTCTCTTCGACCATGATACCCAATTTCCTAACATGACTTTTCTGTTTGCATCCTGATGACTTTCACTAGTGGGAAATCAATATATTCCCTTTCCTTTGTTTTCCAACACCTGATATGCTTTTCGAAGCTCAAAGGGTATCATTAATGTATTATCAAGTTTGACGTCTAATTCCATTGCACGCATGGTTCACTTTCAGATAATCTCTGATGACCGCTGTCCGTACCAGTCCCGTAGTCCGTCTCCCTTGGAGCCTTTCCCGGGCCCCGATGAGAGCAAGAATTCGTTGAGCCTGGAAGCCCCATCTTCTTCATCGGCAGGCCAATCGACCCGGGTCCCTCCTTTCACTTCCAGCATTTCCCTCGCGGTGCCCCAGCTGAATCGGCATTCGCTTCCCCATCCAAAGACAGGATCCATGTTACGTCGAAGCCAGCCGACACACTTGGAATCCGAGGGGTAGCCGCTGCCCCAACTCTCGAGGGCAGGATCATATCGCTCGGCCCGGGTGATGGCCTCGTACATGATCTCTAGTGTCACGTCGCGGGTCACCTTGGCTGCCACACTGGCGGCACTCACGCAAGGGTAGAGCGAATCCGCCTTCTTCGCCACCGTGATCTTGAGAGACGGGAATATTTTCTCTAGTTTCTGTTGATATGTGATGGGATTGCCAATTGTGTCGATGTACACCTCCCGCACGTCCACCCCTCGCTCCTCAACCACACCTCGAATGAGCTCCACGGTAGCATCCATTGCTTGAGCGTTCAAGTTGTAGACCGCAGTGGGGGCTCTCATCATGCCCGACGAGATGTCGCGCGCCGAAAGTGACTTGATCGCATAGCCACAAGACTCGTGCAGGTTGTTTTCCGGGGTATTCAGCAGGCGCATCAAGTTCGCACGCACAGCAGGCGTCAGTACCTTACTGTCGTCAAAGCTGTGTTCTTCAGTCAAGAGCGAGTGGTGGAGCTCCAGAGGGAGGTAGAATACGCCGTAGACCATAGGGCCTAGAACTGGACCACGGCCAGCTTCATCCACACCCAATACACAGGGTGTACTTTCCACTGCCTCCCCGGCCGTGGGTGCTGCCTCTTTGGGTGTGATCGCGTTGGGGCATGGCGTGTAGTAGGCGTAAGACTCGCCAGAGAAAAGATGTTCAGAGATGACGCTGGGGGGTACGAAGGTAGAATCCCCTGATTCGACTGTCATGGTGGCTGTGAACAAAAGAAGAGCAAAGAAAGAGAAAAAATAAGGCGAGAAGTGCTGAAGTTGCAGAAAAGAACCTTGGAAGGTATGTAACGCGTCGACCGTTCGGGATTAGCGGGGCGCGTCTCTATCCCAAATTCCATCGCATTCCCACCTTACCTCCGCCCTCCCTCCCCTGCTCTCATAACCTACCCTACGGATTTCTGTTGGTGCTCTTTCATTATGGCACGAGGGGCGCCTGTTAAGGCGCGCGACTATGACTACTCCAATGTAGGAACCACAGGAAGGTGAGTTGACCTGCCAGGTTGCAGCTAGGCGATGCTAACTCAGTTTCCAGGCGCACTGGAATCTCATTAAAAGAAGGCCGCCGCGACGAACATGGAATGGAAGAAGTTGACGGCCTTTTCTCCTCCCCTGAAAAGTCACCTGCCGAATTTCGCGGCCTTGAGAACGGGGAGAATGATTCTTCAACCGGTTCTGACGGCATGTCCATGGACGAAGGTGCGCCATACTTTCTCGGTCGTATTTGGCCTGACATATACTGATATGATGCCCCAAAGGCAATGCGCCTGGTCCCATGGACTTCCTCAAAGGCACCACCAGCTCACGTTCTTCTTTCCTCCCGCCTCCTGCTGCCCGATCGCCGATGAAGACCGGGCTTACTGGATCTCCCCGAAGGACCCCCGCGCTACGATCCACTCCGGACTCTGAGCCTCATGAATCGTCAAGCCCGTCAGATAGAAATGGGCTGAGCGCACATGGCGAGTCACATATGGACCATTCTCCTCTTTCTGCTCGCTCTGTGAACGCGGGGCGTCCGAACCAGCAGAATGGCGCACGAAAAAAGCCAACAAAAGCACAGTTATTAGGAGAGCCCGAGCCGACTTTTCTACCCGACTTTTCCGATGGCGAGGGCGACGAGAATTCATTTGCGCAGGTGCAAAGGGATTTCGGTGATAGCCTGGTTGACGAAGATGATATACCGCCACCGGCAGAACTGTCCCACTCCCCGTCCCCTGATCAGAATGAACCAGAGGACAGCCCTCCTCCGGCCAAAGCCGCACCGCGCGCTGAGCCTGCCGTGAGCGCAAAGTCAGCTAAAAGTGGCAAGCCAACCAAATCCGTCAAAGGCGCCGACGCAGATCAAGTTGGATCGAAGCCTGCAGGGCGGCGAGGACGCCCTCCCAAGTCCGCACAGCGCGATGCCGAGGAAGACCCGAACCCTCGCCCAAGCAAAAAGCAAAAGAGCACCGCCAAAGAACCGCCACCTGAGCGCGAACCTCTGGAGCCCGAATTGGACCGAGTGGTTACTGAATACGCCAACCGCACGGGTCCACTGAAAGGTCGAAGCCTGTACATCCTTAAGAGGGAGAATCCCACGGACAGCAATGCGACTCACACTCGATCCGGTCGTACTTCTGTCCGACCCCTGGCGTACTGGCGCAACGAAAGATGCGTATTTGGGGATGGAGAGGCTGCCGAGGGGCATCGATACCCTCTCTCCACTCTCAAGGAGGTCATTCGTACCGAGGAGCAGGAACCGGATAAGAAAAAGAAAGGCAAACGTCCCGCGTCTCAGAAATCCAAGTCAAAGAAGCGAAAGGGCGAATCGTCCGATGAAGAAGACGACGAGGTTGATGTGTGGGAGAAGGAGGGTGGTGTGCTTCATGGGTACACCCTCAAGTGGGATAGTAAGACGCAGACCAGCTCTAAGGAGGAGGAAGTTTTAGGTATGGGGTGCCCCCGTGATCTCGCCTCTTTTGATTTACTAAACATGGATTCATCTAGACATTGCATATGCCCCTTCCGGCATCGAAACGCGGGAAGTCAAAGGTTCAACATTCAGGTTCGCCAAGCTTCTGAGCTCTTCGTTCATCGGGTCTGGGGTCGTCGAGCTGCCCCCGGATGGAGTGAAGAAGCCGAAGAACTCGAAGAAAATGCACATGGTTTTCTATGTTTGTCACGGGCGCGTTCAAGTTGACATCTCGGGTGTTCAATTCAGTGCTGGCAAGGGCTGTGTTTTCCAAATCCCCCGTGGTAAGGTCCAAGTCTTCTCCGGTGGTGAACACTTAACTTACACTGATTCTAGGTAATTACTATAGCTTTGCTAATTCCCATGGCAAAGAAGCCCGACTCTTCTTTACCCAGGGGTGTGTCCCCGATGAGACTGAAAGTGGAGAGGAGAACGACACTCAAGGCGAACTCGACAATGACAATGACACCTCCGCAGTATCTCGGGAGGGGAGCGATGACAGCGAGGCTGAGCCCGAAGCTGAGCCTGAAGCTTCTCCTGTCCCTGGCCCCGTTCCTGTGAAGAAATCCAAGGGTCGGCCTAAGGGCAAGCAGAAGAAGGCTGGGAAATAATTGATCTCGCTTAATGCTTGTTCCATTGTCCTTGACAACGCGCCATGATACTTTTTTATGTGGATACCCTGGACGTTCTATCTTAAGGGCGTTCGAATATCCTTTCCCCCCTTCCAGTTCATTGTTATATGTTCTTCAGCGATTGTTTTACTTCTTGTTTCACACGACTACCTGGTTCCTTGGAGTTTCCTATCTATTTCCCGTCTTCCGTGGGCTTTGTTTCGAGAATTGATGATGGAGCAAGTGCGCAGCTGAGAACGCTAAACTAAACCTATTGGAAAATGTCAAATAAGTACCAGCTTGTCTAAGTATGCATGATCATCTTGTTATAATAATCAGATCTCTTCCATCAAGTCATCCAGGTCATCGTCTAGTCCTAGGGGAGCGAAGTCTCCAACTTCGACCTTCTCGGGCTTCACAAAGACACCTTTGTTGCTGAGGCACTCGAAGAAGCGCTGGCCACCCACACTCCCATCATTCTTGCCCATCGGCTCGTCCAATTCAATCCCAACCCAGATGGGTTGAAGGTCTGCAGGGAGGTCCGCACTTTGTTGCAACTCACGGCCCGGGCCCGTTACTGGAATCTTGGGAACAGGTCCCACGAAGCGGATTGTTCCGCGACGAATGTGCGGTGGGGACGACGGCAAGACAATTGCCCGCCGCGAGACCTCAATGTCTGGTTTGACGCTGGGTTAGATCACCGCTGATATCCAGGGGCTTGCGCCTACGAACCTCGCTTTTGAATCTCTGTCTGGTCTTTCTCCACCTGGTGGCGCAGGGACTCTTCGGGCGATAGAGCGTTCGGGTCGAATCGCCCCAGCTTCTGGTTCTTCTTCCAGGCTAGGACGGAGTCGGAGCGAGCCTCGTAGGCATCAGTGGGCAGCACATATTTCTCCACATTAGACAAATCGGTGAAATTGGCCCGCATGGTTGGGGGACGACTGTCGTTCACCTGAGCCTGTCAATGGGTCTGAACCTTTCGCTGCGGTCTCTCTGATATTTGGTTCCTTGCCTCGTTTCTCGACTCGACGCAGGCGTCTTCCGCCAGGTCGAGAAAGGAGCTAAAGCCAGGCTCTAGAGCAGAGGCACAGGGGCGTCACGGAGAACCCACCTCGATTTCTGTCCCTTTGACTAATCCATAGTCCCCAATCAGCTGGTCATCTCTATCGGCCCATTGATCAGGTCGGCCAGGAACCTTCACCCGCAAACGCTGGCTCCCGGGTGGGATACCTGTCATGGTCTCCAGCTTTCCCTTGACCTGCATGATAGTCCAGGTTGGGGTGATTCGGCGCTCAGTCAAGAACCTGGGCTCGGAGCTCCCAGACTTGCCCAAGGCCGCATTGGTGATGATGACGGACACATCCATTGGGGTTGGCTGGAACGCCATGGTGACGAGTCCTATGATGATGATCAGGAGAGAGGTCTCTGGAAGTGTGCATTGTTTCTTGGCACCTATCACATCTGTGAGGACTTACAGTTGATACTTGACCGGCTTGGTTCGTTGGACCACAGCAAAAGAAACCCCCGGCTTAGTCAGCGCCAGGAACAGGCGCTGTTGAGAATCAAATCGACCACGTCGCACTGCATATTTCGCCGCATCTCTGTTTTCTCCTTCTGTGCGCGCTTGCAGGGTTCTAGGTTGGGCCCTTTACACAGTAATTACGGGGGTATCCCTTTGGTAGTCGGAGACGCAGTCCCTAACCACGCTGAGAGAGGGATTGCAGGCATAGAACAACAAACTCTTAACGTACTTCGTACGTAGTACGTGGTGTAACTACATAGGTAGTTACCTTTGGAGGAAACAGTGCAGAGGAATCAATGGGTTTGTGAGTCGAACGACGTGGTGGTCTACCCGAACCACGTGATATCAACTTCTCGCTTTTGCACCTCTCTGCGCCGGTCATCTTAACCCGTCCATCATGGCATCTCAACAGAGTGGAGAAGCTTACGAGCAGGAGAACGTGCATGAGGTCTACCAGCAGATTGCTCAGCACTTCTCAGCCACCCGCTACAAGGTGCGTTTCACCCTGCCGCTCGCAACGCCCAACTGACCATTCCGCAGCCGTGGCCGATAGTTGAGCGGTTTCTCACCGGTCTATCGCCCGGAGCAGTGGGCCTGGATGTAGGGTGTGGCAATGGCAAGAATCTAATGGTCAATCGAGACGTTTTCATCATTGCTTCAGATAGGTATGTCATAAACATGTGGGATTCGTCTTGGAGGGGTTTTTCTATGGGGTCTACTATCTCGGAGAATGCCCCCCCCCCCACACATACACCCCTCGCGTCCCGCCTTGGTCACTGACGGCAATCCCAGATCGGCAAACCTGGCGCGGATTGCGCTGCAGCACCAACCGCATTCGACGGTGGTGGCCGATATTCTGGAACTGCCCCATCAAGATGGGCGGTTTGATTTCGCCATTTCCATCGCGGTGGTCCACCATCTGTCCACCCCGGCCCGGCGCACCCAGGCCGTTGCCGAGATTCTGCGCACGGTGAAGCCGGCTTCACCGACGCATGAGGGCGGAAAGGTCCTGGTCTACGCCTGGGCTCTAGAGCAAAAGAACAGCCGTCGCGGCTGGGACAAAGGCGATGAACAGGACCGCATGGTTCCTTGGGTCCGCAAGGGGGAGCACCCTCAGACGTTCCATCGCTACTACCACCTGTATGAGGAAGGGGAGCTGGAACGCGACATCGACAATGCCGGGGGTCGAGTGCTGGAGTCGGGGTACGAGAAAGACAACTGGTGGGCGATCGCAACACCCAAGACGGGTCAGGCATGAAACGCATGTGCTCCGAGAGCCTGCCTCGGAGTCATGGAGAAAGATCCATTTGCATTGGTCCTGCCAAAGATTCTGCCAAGCAGAAGAACTCAAACACCGAGGGGCAGGAATCATCTATACGATTCTTTGTCCCCGCAAATCACGATATACCTCCAACCGACGCTATGCAATTCGTAACCACAAAAGAAACAACACAAAAGGAAAATAAAAACAAAGAAGCCCACCAAGCCCCGCCAGTGGGGGGAGACCGCAGGGGAAGAAAAAAGAACAGAAAAGAAACCAAAACAAGGTCAAGACTCAGGAAAAGACGTTCAGGCGTCATCGTTGTCTCGTTTCAAGGCATCGTCCGCGGGGGCAACCCGAGATGAGGTCCCATGAGCCCTGGGGGGATACCCATCTCTCGGCCATAGAAATCTCGCGGCGGTGGGGGTGCGTATGCGGGCACACCCGCAGTCAGTTCTTCCAGAGAGGGCAACTGCGGGGGATGTCCGGGGGCATGGCCTGGGATGGCGCGCGAGTGAGAGCCTTTTCGCGGCCGGGCGAGAGAGGTGCTGGCGCGACGGGTTCTGGTGGGTGGAGGATCAATGGCCGTACTGGAGAGCGAGAAGGGGACCACGCCCGCCCGGCGAGCCATCTCCTGCTCTCCCAGCTGCCAGTGCATGGCTTCGGCCGCCCGCCAGGGGATGGCCATTTCCTCGGCCACCTTGGACCACATTTCGGCTTTGAATCTATTCCAGACACCGGTTAGCAGGTTCCCCGGGGGTGTTGCTCTCCCATCCAACTCACCTTTCGTATAAGCGGGCGAGTTTGTTCTTCTTATCCTCGTCCCATTCACTGCGGCGTTCCAGGTAGTTTTGATAATGCAGCCGGCAACTGATCGCACTGCGTCCGGGGAGTCGTTTGCTGATGTCCTCCCACTTCATCCCACTTCCACGCAGTTCGATGATCAAGGCGTCCTCCTCGGGAGACCACTTGGACTGCTTCTTGGCGGGGGATTCCGCCGTGTGGGCGGGCTGCAGCCGCTTGGGGGCCCCCGTGGTGCCGGTCTTGGCCAGAGGTGGCATGGTCATGGTGGTCATGGCCGCGGGGCCGGGCATCATCATCCCCATGCCCAGTGGCGGCCCGATCGATCTGGGCGGGAAGCCGGGGGTCTCTTCCTCATCCTGGGGCTTTAGTAGCAGTGAGATATCCACTTTGGCAGGGGGCAATATAGGCCGATTTTGTAACGCAATCATATGCGCGGATTGCCAGTTCGATGTTCCAGGAAGCAAGCAGGCTGACCGAAGTCGAGGGCAGGGCAGCGATGCACGAGAGTCCGAGAGTCCGAGAGTCAGCCGCGAGAGAGAAAGAAGAAGAAGAAGAAGAAGAAGAAAAGAAGAAGTAGAGAGATGAGGTCAGGATTTGAAGGTCTAGGCGGGAACCGTGGAATCTAAAAGGCACAGAGAAACGAGCAGTTCAAGTCCAGAACGTTTTGAAACAGGGATCCCGAGTGACAGGTGCTCCATAAGGCACTGTTACGCTTAAATCTCCGGTGTATCGTATAGTACTACTAGTACGTATGGGCTGCTCACGAACTGACTGATCGAGCAAGAGGGGCGAATACCAATAAAATACCATATAAAATTAACGGAGACCCGCATCACCCTGCGGTGAAATGAGCGGCCCAGACGCTAATGCCGTGCCGTTGCGCATCCAGATCCTAACGGTTTGAAGCTTCGGCTTTTCAACCAGTCGGGGAATTTCTCGACGCCTCCAGCAGAATGGCCTAGACGGTTGATCCGGTCTAGAATTTTTAAGATTGGAACGACGGGGACAATGGGATTAAGGGACCCGGTGGGCCCCCCAACGCAGAGCAGCGATGCGAGACCGTTGACCCGAAACCCTGGCTGGGAACACGAGTTCCCTCGTAATTTCCCCTATCGACGATCACGGCCTGAAACACCCGTTTGGCCCAAGCTAGACCTCTTCCTGTCATCATTTCCGTGCTCTCTATCACAGGCGATGCATCGCTTTCGACGATCCCCGTGCCAAACGAGTCAGCCAACGGGGGATGTCCGAGTGACGATCTTGACACCGTGCAGAACGGTGTGGAGAGACGTTGGATCCTCTTATGACTTAAGTGGCCCTGCCAATGTCCGACACGTCGACCCATTTTGTCTTTTCTTTCTGCTGTTGGGGTTTGTTGACGACGGTGATGGTTGATCTTTGAATGACTTTGAATAAGAACGTCTTTCAAGATTGAACGTCTTTGAACATGGGTGGAAACAAAGAGGTGCATGTCGCAAGTGCAAGTTCGACACGAGTCGACTCCACTTGGCGGGACGAGTCTCGGCCGGATGTGTGCCTGAGGCGACTCCGTACTTACGAACCACCGGGCCAGTAACTATGTACTAGGTAGGTACTGTACTACTATACTACCACCTACTAGACTATCAACGACTCGGTAGATACTTATTATAGATCATGCTCAAAGAACCTCATGAAAGAGCAGGCTCAAAGCCTCCCAAACTCGCCCTCGGGCACCGTTTCTTTGATAGACTCGTGTATATAGAAGACAGGCAAACCCGAGGCAAAGACGAGATATCAAAGGACATACATAGAACGTCAGAAAATGAAAGCACCCTTACGTGTAAGTCGGCAGAAGAGCACGGCCAGACGGACCCTAACGTCGATAGAACCCTGTGCCCCGAACATGGCCCCCCAACACCATTGCAGCGACCACCGTGGGATTTCCAAACGGCGCCAATCTCTGCTACCGAAACGCCGCCTTCCAGGTGCTCTTGCATTCCCCGGTCGTGCTGAATTGGGTGAACTGGTACAAGAAGCACCATGCCCCCACCAATGCGTGTCAGAGGGGCGCCTTCGGGGCACCCTGCAAGCTCTGCCTCTTGCACGATCTCAGCACGGCCTATTGGGCCGGCAACAAGAAGGCCGCCATCAATGCCCTGAAGACGCTGTCCGCCGCAATCTTCTGGACATGGAAGGGGGAGTCAGAACAAGAGGGTGACACCCAGGAAGACGCGCCGGAGTATTTTGAGCAAATGATTGAACAATTCAAGAAAGAAATCATCCCCATGATGTAAGTGAAATACCCCACTCGAGTCCCGCTGTCGACTAACCCGGCTGAAGTCGATCGGACTGGGATGAGATTTTCGAGATCCAGACGGAGGATTGGATCCAATGCGAGGAGTGTCAGGCACCGTCCGAGATTGCCGACCCCGAGTCATCGGTATTCTGGCGGCTCCCCGCCGCCGACGAGCCGGAGGGGAGTCGGCTCGAGAATGCCATCGAAGAATGGGGCACCATGACTGGCGCCAAGGTTGCATGCGAGAAATGTGGAGGTCACCGAACCACTCAACGCATGATCTTGCAACTCCCCGAGATGCTGTTTGTGCAGTTGGATCGCCAGAGGATGACCGAGGACCAGATCCTGGAAAGGACGTACCACCCAGTGAACATCGATGATCTCGAGATTGAGGACATGTATGTCGCGTGGAATGAGGACGCTGAGTATGAGCTGGTCTCGGTCACCCTGCATCATCGACAAGACCCAGGATGGCCAGGTGGGCATTATACCGTCCTGGCAAAAGGGCCGGGAGGCAAATGGTCCCATATGGATGATAACAACGAGATCATTACCTCGGGCCCAGAAGCGCTCACCGCCGATTTAGCCACCACCAACGCCTACACGTTCGCATATCGACGCTTGCCTCTCGCGGGCGAAGGGTGGGATGCAAAGTCTAAAGGGGCCACTGGAAAGAAAGCTGGGAAGGGAGCTGGAAAGGGAGCTGGGAAGGGAAAGGGAGCTGGGAAGTACGCTAAAAAGGCGCCTGGGAGTGCGGCAAATCTCGCGGCGAATGATACGTCGACTCTTCTGGACAGTATCGAGCAGCTCCTCGAGGAAAACCGAGCCAAGGGAAAAGACGAGTGGGATTCCGCAGCGGCGAAGAGGAAATCAGAGTGGAATGAATGGGCAGATGAGAGGGATGCAAAGAGGAGGAGGGTTCAGGACAATGATGACGATATTGAAATCGAAGATGCCGATGCAGAGGAACCCGAAGAAACAGCCGAAGGGGACCCTGCAGGGGGAGAGGGGGAGGGTCCAGAGGGACAGGCCAAAAAAGTGAAGAGTGTCTGGAAGGAGGAAAAGCACCGAGGCACACTCCGGATAACACTAACAGATGCAAAGGGCAATGTCACTTTAGATCTGCGGATGAAAGGACTCGCCACCAACTATCTTCATCGCCAAAATGCCAAAGCCGTCAGAAGTACTCCAGCGAGGGCGGCCAAAACCAAGGCCACCAAAAAGCTCACGAATGCCGCCAAAGCCAGGGCTGCTAAGGCCAAGGCTGGAGCAAAGGGGGTGGAGGTTGTAATGGAGGTCGTCAAAAAGGCCAAGACGAAGACGGTAGGAAAGAAAAAGGCAGTTGAAAGCTCAGAGTCGGAGCTGTCAGAGCAGTCAGAGCCGTAAGGGCTAAGGTTGGAAGTTTGGTGATATATATTTCTGTTCTGTAACATCTTTTTTGACAATGGACTTTATTGATCGTTTAATTCTTGAATTGCCTTCGGACATCAAACCTCTGATGCTGACCTTGCACTGTCTCTTTCCAAACGACTTTCTCCCAGCCTTAGACCTTCTCGACCGCAAACTGGTACGGAGCGTCCACTTCGGTATCACGGAACTGTTCCTCGTTGCCTCCACCGCATCACAGGAAAGCTACGAGGTTCGGCTGCACGCCTGGAACTGCAGCTGTGCCTCTTTCACTCTGGCTGCATACCGCTCCCAACCTGCAGAGACGACCCCCAGTCCAGAGCAGGTTCCCTACCGGTTTGGCGGGATATCTCAAACGGCCCAGATGGCCCCGGTCTGCAAACACATTCTAGCTTGTGTGCTGTATGCTCGCTGTCCCACGCTGGTGGGTGACGATACCGGATCGATTGCAATCTCCCGAGAGGAACTGGCAGGCTGGTGTGCTGGATGGGGCGGGTGAGATCTGACCAATGGCTCGAAGAATTACCATCTTCCCATCTTCCCGTTTGTCTCGTTGACCTGGAGCTGCTGTGACCCGCCCCAGGAACACCAACTGCATTGGGAACCCACTGGTTCGACGGGTTCGGCAATTGCTCACCGGTCACTCAGCCCCGGAGTTCCTCTACCTAGTACCACCGCCGTGGGTACGCTGCTGGCACACGCCCATCCTTGACCTGGTCCCTCCCAACTAGTATCTTACTACGCAGTCACGGGCATCTACACGCAGACCAAAGAGTACGGAGTAATGCCAGCTATTCTACCACCCGGCTGGTCAGAGAGTAGGAATCTAAATGTCATATTATTCACTCGACCATTCCGTTCGAGGAGAGATTAAGTCCCTAGTTCTTCTTCTTGTCGGAGCCTTCCTCCTCACTGGAAGCTTTCTTAACGTCCTTGTCGCCCTTGGCCTCCTGGTCCCGCTTGGTGTCACTCTCTTCCTGCTGCTGTCGGTTCTGGATCTTGTTCTCGATTAAGTCGTGGAAGGCGGTGATGGCCCGGATCAAGCTGCTGATGTAGATGGCCATCAATTGGTCATTGGTCTTGACACTCATGGCTCGCGCTAACTCGCTGTTCTCGATCTGGGGCTCTTGGCCGCTGATCCGCTGTGTCGCGGGCGGGGTGGACAGGTTGGGAAGGAGGTTGAAGACATCCTGGAGGTTACCCAGAATGGCGTGGTTGACCGGAAGTTCCTTGTCAAGAACTTTCTGGAGGTATTGCCCAATATCGCGTAGCCGCAGGTGCAATCCTTGCAGAGACTGCAGCTGCGACGTGATACGAGTGGAAAGTGTGCCGACTGCGACGTCCCTGATGTCTCGGAGCAGGTGCTCCACACCGATCTCCTCTGCTTCCTCGGCCTCGATTATCGACGGGGTGTGCACGAATGTTCGAGAGGTTGTGGTTCCATCCTGGAAAAAAGAGGCATCAGGGTCAGTTCCCGAGCCGGGGCGCGTGGTAACAACAAACTCACATCTTTAATCTCATCCACGGCGAAGTAGGCATCTGTAGGCACACCGACTTCCTTTGGTTGCACATCGACGATGACGAGCAGAGGATTGGGCGTGTACTTCTTGAAGAGCTCATTGATCTCCAAATCCGAGGCGCGGAGCTTGGGTCCTGAGTGGTACCAGCCGACTAGCTTCTCGCGAGCATTGATCTTCTTGAACATGTCCCTCATCGACTCGACGAAATTGTGATCCAAGAACCACACTGATGGGTCCTTCTCATCTTCCTCGAACGGGACTGGACACAGTCTGTCAGCGAATCTCTTTGAGATTGATCGAAGCTTTGTACTGACCGGCAAAACTGTTTGATACGCGGACATTATCCCCCGAGTTCTCCCCCAGCAGCACACCAACGACACGCTTCCGGGTACCCTTTGCTGTACGTCCATAGTGATCTGCGACGGAGAGGAGGACTAACGGGGCAACCGTCACGGAGCGGTTGACGAGGGATAGTGTGTCCGCCGTGGTGGCAGGCATCGTGAACGGGCGACGGGGATCTCGAAGGGGTCAAAGTCAAGCTATGGAAAGGGTATAAGCTTGAAGATCAAATCGAAACCAATGGGAATAGCAGAGTAATGTGAGACGAGAATGGATGGAGAGCGATGATGCACAGGTGCTGAGCTCTCCGCCACAGTGAGGCTGGTTCATTAGTAAGCTTTGTGGCTGGCATTCACCTAGGTATACAGGGGAAGTCCATCGTACAGTAGAGAGGATGGAGAGAACTAGGGGAGTAGGGAAATCGAGATAGAAGAATTGAGCGCCGAGAAGATAATCTACAAGCAGACTCTGGCAGACTCTGAGACTCTATACTGTTCGTCCATGAGTGAAGAAGAGGCGGCATATAGTATTGGAGTGAAGCCCGTGCTCCGAACCTCGGGCGCTAGGATTCTTTCCCTTCCCCATTTCTCCGGTTTCCCGTCTACTTTCTCTTCATCCATCCCCTCTCCTCTCTTATTATACAATGGCTCCCATCACTGAAGAGGCCGTCTCTGGCCTGAAGAACACCATCAACCAGCTGGAGGCTAAGGTGTCCGAGCTCGAGGGCCGTCTCGCCAATGGCGGAAAGCCTTCCGTTGCCGAGCAGATGCGCATCATTCTGATGGGCCCTCCTGGCGCAGGTATGCAATTGAACACGGTGGCAAGGCTACTGGGTACTAACGGTTTCCAGGCAAGGGTACTCAGGCTCCCAACCTGAAGGAGAAGTACTGCGCGTGCCACCTGGTAAGTTGAGGTTGGTCCAGACACAGCATGAACTCAATCGCTGACACAGGTCCTGATTAGGCTACCGGAGACATGCTGCGCTCTCAGGTCGCGAAGAAGACCGAACTCGGAAAGGAGGCCAAGAAGATCATGGACCAGGGTGGTCTTGTCAGCGACGAGATCATGGTCAACATGATCAAGAGCGAGCTTGACAACAACACAGAGTGCAAGAACGGGTACGTACATCTCAATTATTTCCCTGGAGAGTTTCTCTCTTCATTTACATGGTGCCTTGGCCGAAGTTAACACGCGTCCAATAGTTTCATCTTGGACGGTTTCCCCCGGACAGTCGCCCAGGCCGAGCGCCTTGATGAAATGCTGGGCCGCGAGAAGAAGCTCCAGCACGCCGTCGAGCTGCAGATCGATGACTCCCTGCTGGTCGCTCGTATCACTGGCCGTCTCGTCCACCCTGCCTCCGGCCGCTCGTACCACAAGATCTTCAACCCTCCCAAGGATGACATGAAGGACGATGTCTCAGGCGAGCCGCTCATCCAGCGCTCTGACGACAATGCCGACACCCTGACCAAGCGTCTGGCTACTTACCACGCCCAGACCACCCCGGTTGTCGAGTACTACAAGAAGACCGGTATCTGGCGCGGTATCGATGCCAGCCAGGAGCCTGGTCAGGTCTGGAAGAGCATTCTTGGCGTCTTCCGCCAGTAGGATGTACGGATTACATTTTAAAAGGGATTTGGGGGGTGATTTGGGACAATTTACCAGTCCAGGCTTCGCGATGCCTACCGTTTTCCTATGTTGTTTTTCTTAATTGGGGGGCACTACGGAGGCATGACTGGCGTTTTTTTGTCCACATATAGAACCTGGGTTGATCCCCTAAACGCCATGTATAGTAGTATGTGTGTACCTTTGGAGTACCAAATACACTCAAGACATGCATTGAACTTTCGAACTTTCACCAAGTTGTCTCCGTGATATCTGTAGGTTCTGTCCCAGGGTAAAATCCCAGTCTGTATAGTATGTAATGGCGACTGAATGCACAGATCTGACATTCTCTATCTAGTTATCCTATTTACACGCTCATCCGCCACTATAACTGCAAGGGATAGTCAGTCGACTCGATCTGTTGAGGATAGGTCAGACCGCCCTGCTTTCGGACCTCATCCATAACCTCCATGATGACGATGCTCTCTTCCCATGGCATGCCCTCACTCTCGAGCTTACCATCTCGGAGGCACCGGGCAACTTCATCGGCCTCCCAGTACATCCCATGACCCTTGCCCGGGAATGAGCCTTGAACCTCACGGATCTCACCCGCGCCCTTCTTCGGGATGATCCGGTACCGCTCTGGGCGGAACGGCGGGCCATACACCTGGATCTCGCCCTTGATGCCCTGAATCCGGATGGAAGGGCCCGAAGAGCCCTTCTCATCGGGATCGGCAGAGACACGAATGTTGGTCATGGCGACACCATGCGACTGGTGAGGATGTGGGCCATTGGAAGGGGTGCTCGTGGGGAAGTTGAGGAGCACGGTGGTGGACTCATCCGCCCCGGTGAGGTGGTATGGAGTCATCTGCGAGGAAACGGTGGGAGGCTTCCTTTGCTCCTTGGGGAGGGTGTGATAGAGAGTCTGGAAGACCCAGGTCAAAGAGTAAATACCCACTATAGATACCGCATCAATCAAGGTTCTCTGCTAGCAATCCACATAGAAGGAATGCCACGAAGAGGAAAATCCACACTACTTACAGTCCAAGAGGGCACCACCTGCCAGGTCCGGGTTCACCATGCGGTGGGTGGTTCCCCATTTCTCCTCCACATCATCGCCGAAGCTCGTATCGGCAAGGACACGGAGGACTTCACCGATCTCACCTCTCTGGATGAGCTCCCGGATTTGAATACTCAGCGGGAAATAGCGAGTCCAGACAGCTTCCATGAGGAAAAGATTCTTCTTGCGGGCAATGTCGATGAGAATCTTAGTCTGCGCGGCATTGACGGTGAATGCCTTCTCGCAGAGCACATGCTTGCCAGCCTCTAGGGCCAGCCTCACATTCTGATAGTGGTGCGAGTGTGGAGTTGCGACGTAGATAACATCGACATTGGGATCAGCCACGAGAGCCTCGTAGTCACCATATGCAGAGCAAGCAGTGTTGATGCCGCGAGCTGCGATGAACTGCTCAGCCTTGGCCTTGGACGAGGACGAAGCGACAGCCACAATCTGGTGGGCGACATCCGAAGCATCACGGACACTGGGATCGATGAGAAGGTCCTTGGTGAACGCTGACGAGTCAATTGATGTTTGTTTGGACATGTATATAGATCTTACTTTCGGCGATCCAGCCGGTGGCTACAGGAACCGTTAGTATTGTCTACCACACAGCTAGAAGGGCCATACCCATGATGCCCCAGCGAACGATGTGTGCCATAATGGGAATATCGAGTGTCGAGTGTCGAGTGTCGAGTGTTGAATGCGTGGGGGTGGGAGAGACAAGTCGGGGGAAGACCCGCCAATTTATAATCGATGCGACCCTCCAGGGCTGAGCGGGGCACAACGTCAGTTGTACTCGATCTACTGGGCACTCCGTACGTGAGGTATGAAACTGAGATAATACGGATAAATATCGATTCGCTAGAAACGCCATGCAATGCACAACCAGATTATTTTACACTGGCTCGGTCTTCACACGAGTCTTCTGGCTGGGAGATTCCCCCTGTGATGGGTTAGCGCTGGTCAAGATATCGAAATCAGATCACTCACTTCAGCCTTACGCTTGCCGAGGACCGAGTCGGGCGTGCTAGTCCGGGTCTGACGAGCCGGAGCAGGGCCTTTGGTGACTTCAGCGTAGCAGCTCGCATGATACATGCGAGGGCCAACCTTGGTGGCGTCTTGCCAGATCCAGTCCTGGACATCCTCGGACCAGGTCGATTCAAACTTCTCCTGGCAGATGGGACACGGGGTGTTGCGGAGGGTCGCATCGTTGGGGGCGCGAATCCATGGCTTGGAGGGTTCCTGTTTGGCACTTTCATCGCCGGCGGCTCCCTCTGCGGTGGCTTGGGGATCGGTGGCGCCGTTCTCGTCACCAGCCTCACGGGATTTGATCCAATCCTGTCAACAGTTAGCACTGAGTCCGGTCTGACCAGATTGAAGTAACATACCCTTTCGTCGACATACCAACTACGATTCTGAGCACGCCTGGAAGATTCGGTCATACGTTGATTGGTCTTGAAATGCCAGTCTAGATGGCGAGCCTTCATTTCCTTGCCTTTCTCGGTAGCAAAGAATCTACGACCGCATGTTCCACACCTGTTAGGCCGCGAGTCATACAGAGAGACAACGAGTCCGAACCGAGGGATTTTCATGGATGCCGTGGTCATAGGAACTCCAGAGGTGTTGGCAGCCTGGTTCAAGGATTGAGGCGGGTGAGCCCCATTAGACATGAAGTATGGCAAGGTAGCTGTGCCGGGCACTGGGGTCGAAGAGGCGGAGGGAGTAAGGGATGGGGGTGCTGGACCCGAGGGCAGAAGCCCACGAGCCCTCAAAGCCGCAATCAAGGGATTTTCGGGCTGTGGAGTGCTGCTCTGTTGGGGGATCTGCGGCATCTGCGGCAGCGGGAGGGGCATTGCAGGCGGTGGGGTGGGTTGCTGGCGTGAGGCGGTGGCTTTGATGAGCTCGGCAAGGGTACCCGGGTTGAGTAATTGTTGGAGCGGCTGTGAGACTGGTTGGGCCAGTTGAGCCGACTGAGCTGGAGGGGTGGACATTTGAGGCACGACCGGCGCACTTGCCACGGGATTGGGGGCCGCGGATGGAGGCCTCGAGGCCGCAAGCTGAGAGACTTGATTGCGGACCAGTTGCAGCTGGTCTTGGCTGAGTTGCTGCCGCTGTAGAATTGCTTGGAGGTCCACCAACGCTTTCAGGCGTTGCTGGCAAGCGGGATTGAAAGGACTATTCGCAAAGTCGATCTTGGCTGCCGCAATGAGGCCATCCACGTCTCGGTTGAGGTGATGCAAGTCGATATCCTGACGCTGATTCGGGGGAGGGGTCTGTCATCACGTTAGTCTCCCATGTAGAAGGTCCAGACATAGGCAGTCTTACTGATGTCGAATGGCCCGGGTATGGATTTTGTTGATTCCGCGCCCCGTGTGTAGTACTGGACCATCCCGTCGGCGTCCCATTGGCGCGGCCACGGTTGATCTCTGGTTGTGGGCGAGCCTGTTGGTGCTGCAGGGCTGCCGTGCGGGCTTTGATCAAGGCGCTTTCAATGTTTCGGGTGATATCCGGAGGAAAGACGGGGCGGGTGTCGAGCGATCCGGGGGCCGGTTGCTTCCAGGTATTGAGCATCTCATCCAGCTTTCGTCGAGTGTTGCTGTCGACCAGGGTGTAGACATTCATGAAGGTCTGGTACATGTTGCGACCCAGGAACAGCGTATAGGGACTTCCGACATTCTTGGCGATGGAGTCTGCTACATACAGAGCCGGAAGTTTCTGCTGCGGTGGTGTCTACATCTTGGTTAGAATGTTACCGCCAGGCGTCAGGGAACATACTGATCGGATGTGATTCTCCAGGACTCGGGAGATGGCCATGGCGTGTTCGGTATTCTCCTTGGCGATGACCGTCAGGGTCCGGATCTGGATGCCATCATTGGATGTTAGATCTTCCAGCGAACTCTTGTAGTCCTCTGCGATTTCGTCGGAGACGAGGCCAGACATGGTGATATGCGACGGGTCTAAGGCGAAGTCAACGTCTCGGGGCTGTTTGTTTTCCTCTGGGCCTCTCTCGTTGTTTTTGTGCCTCTTCTGTTTCTCTTCTTTTTGCAGATTCTGCTGAATCTCTTGCTCTTGACCTTGAGGGGATTGGCTTGTTCAACTATCAAGACGTTTTCTTAATCCTGGTCCAAACCGGTTCTGGATCAACATAGAGAGATAGTCACTTGTAAATGCTTGCTAGCTATCTGGTCGCAAAAAACAATATCCCCCTTCCTAACTACCAGGAGTGTCCAAGAACAAGGAAACAAGTGAACAAGTGAACAAGTGAACAAGAGAGTGAGAGAAGGCGAGAAAGTGAAGTGGGCGGGAAGAGGAAAGGGAGTGTCATGTGATCCGGTGCCACCTCACTTCTCCCCGGGGCCGTCGACCGCATCATCGCTCTACAGTACTCCCGTACACTCTTCACAATGAAATACTCTTTAGTTGCAGCTTTCCTGGCTTTGCCTCTGGCTTTGGCCGCTTCACTTAAATCCGTCGTCGTCACTTTCCCCAAGGGAACGCCTGACTCGGTGATCAACCAGGCCAAACACTCGTTGGTGGCTTCAGTACGGCACCTTAGTTAGCATACAGGTTCCTTGGTGAAACTAACTATTCACAGGGAGGTGTGATCACTCATGAATACAGTAAGTCCACTCCTGAGAAATTGATCGTTCCAGTGCTGACTCGACTCGATAGGTCTGATCAAGTATGACTACCCAAGCTGCTCGCGAACCATCTCTAATTATAGTTCTAGCGGCTTTGCTGCCGAGGCTCCCGCCAGTGCATTGCAGACCCTCTCCACCCAGGACGCCAAATACAAGCCGGACATCGAGGAGGACAAGGTGGTGAATGCGAATGGAGAGTATGCCGCCGCATTCTGATTGCATTTGGCATTCTGCATCCTGCATTCCGCGTCCTTTGGTCTGTTCATTTCCATCGTGCCACAGGCTGGCACAAGTCGGGTGCAAACACTCTGGATCATATCCACGCGATTATTACAACATATGGAGTCGGGTTAAATACGGAGGTCAGCGTCTGGGATTGGGTTATTTGATTTAGGACTGGGTTAAGGATAGTAACTGGGGTTTCTTGCGTCTCGTTCAATTTGTATTTGGCATGTCCATCCATGGATTCAGAGGCAACACTTATATACTCCATAGATGGTGCATAGTTCGGAAGTGATGTAGCAGAATCAGCATAATAAACATTTAAAAGAGTTGCGATATGACAGCTCGCATTCACAAATACCAAGGCCAAATGAACTTCGACTGCGTCGTACATGTAGTTGTACCTCAAGACCTCGGATACTCCAGGGCTGCATTCGCGTAGGGCCGATCATCCCCCGCTAGCTGATTCCGCCCCAAGCGCGTGGATCCCGCGAAACTTCCTTGAAACGGTATATCGCCTCAGGGGTCTAGGAGATGCTACAATTGGGCATTTAATTCTCTTCACTTTGCATCATGGCATCGGAACACACTGTGACCAAGGTCCTGCTGGAGTGGATCAACAGCTTCTCCCTGGGCAAGACTCTTCGGACTATCGACGAGCTGACCGATGGAATTATTCTCTGGGAGATTCTCCAAGACATCGATCCCCAATATTTCCTCGAGGAGATCCCAGAGCGCAACGCCTCGGACCATTGGGTGGCCAAGTGGCAGAATCTCAAGCACATCCACAAACTACTGCTCAACTACATTCGACACCAGAACGATGATACCTTGCCCTCCGGCCTCGATCCTTCCCCCGACCTCGAATCGATCGCCGAGAAGGGATCAGGGAAGGAGACAAACAAGTTGCTGAAGCTTCTCCTGATCGCAGCCATCAGCTCCCCTAACGCCGGAACGTACGTGCAGACACTTCAGGAATTGAGTACTTCGACGCAGGAGGGACTCAAGGATATTATTGAGGAGGCCCACAATGGACAATTCGAGCCCATGGACGCGGCGGACGAGCTGAGAGAGGATCTGGCCAAACACGATCGCCCCGTGGATCTGGAGCTGCAGTTCGAGGAACGCGTCGGCAAGGTCCTAGCCGAGAATGACCGTCTTACCCACGAGAAAAAAGAGTTGGAGAAGGCTCTGGAGGACTTGCACAACCGCCTGGCCCGTCTCCAGGAGAACAACGACACCTTGCAAAACCGCCTGGCCTCCACCGAGGACCGCTTGGTTACCCTGAAGTCGGGGAAGGGTGACATTGGGTTCAACGCAAAGGCCTTGGAGAGCAAGACGCGCCAACAGGATGATTTGATCGCTTCCCAGGAAGCTAAGTTGACTGCGGCACAGGACGAAATAGATAGCCTCCGCATGACCGTGGAGTCCTTGCGGGTCAAGAACCAGCGCTATCAGAAGTTGCAGGATGACTATGATGAACTTCGCACCGAGAAAGACCAGCTCGCGCGCAAGGCAAACGCGGCCGAGAAATATCGTCAGAAGCTCCAGGCCAGTCAAGATTTCGAGAAGGAAAACCAGACCCTTAAGAATCAGATCAAAGATATCCAGCAACAGCTGAAGGATTCCGACTCACAGCAACGATGGTCTGCCGAACGCGATGTGGAACTAGAGGAATATCGCAAGCTGCTACCGCAGGTCGAGCAGGAGTGCAATGAGATTCAGAACTTGAAGAAACAGCTCGAGTTCAACAACCACGCCCTGACAGAGCGGCTAGAAAGTGCAGACGAGCAACACGAGAGAGACGACGCGCTGATCAGTGAGCTGCGTGAACGCCTAGGCGAGATTGATGGCTTGCCAGGGAGCCCATCTCCTGGCTCTGAAACGTCGAAGATGCAAGGGACTTTACACAAGGACTTTGAGGCAATCGGCGTGAAAGAGTCCCAACTGTGTGTTCTCATTCTTGGCTTTTGATCTTGATCTGATACTAATTGTGGCAGCAAATCCGAGAACGACGACCTGAAAAGGGAAATGGAATCTGTCAAACCCCCTTCTGCAGTAAGCCCAGACCCTCCCGTCGACTTTTTTCCCCCTGCGTGTACTGACCAGAATTAGCCCGGCTCTCATACTGGAGGCTTTTCTGAAAGCTTCGCTGCATCTGTGCAGCTGGCACGCTCTGGATCCTCGCAAAGGTTTGTTCATGTCCTAACATGGTGATAAGTCTCTCTAATCTTTCTGCAGCGATGACTACTGGAAACTATACGAGAATTATACTAGCGCACTCCAGAAAATTGCAGAAGTGCAAGACACCTTGGAAACAACCAAGAAAGACCTTTCCGACACACAAGCCGAGCGTAAGTTTACCATTCCTACATTTTGGATTAATGCTGACAGTGCTGGAGTTGGTCTTGTGAATATGGAACAGGTCGAGATGCTCAAAGGACTCGAGGAACACACCTCGACTGAGCTCACGAAGATACGGGGTGATTGGGAGAGCCTGACACATAACGTTCACCACCTGGAGGCTGAAGTGGACGCTAGCCAGACGTTGGTGCGTGAGGTTTGTGCAGAACGCGAAGAATTGCGTAAGATGCTTGACAACAAGCAAAGCGAGATCAGTTCCGAAGACCAGGAAGTGATGAAAGAGATGCAAATGCTTCTGGGCGAGTTCGAGATCCACAACGGTGAGGGCGAAGAAGTACCGCAGAAGTCCAGCTTTGAGCTTCTGAAACAGTGCGCTGGAGTTCTGGAGAAGAACGTTGAACGGCTCGCCCAACGAGCAGAGGTCGGTGCCCGTGTCGCCCATACCCCATACCTGTTTTGCTGACCGAGGCTGGCTTCGACAGTATATCCAGCAACAGAATGAGCTCGTCAAGTCGCTTCGTGAGCGTATGAAGAATTACGAAGAGAACCTAGATGACGGCATCCCCAAAGAGCGCGAGGTAGGTCTATCATGGCCCTCTTTATTGACTGTATGCACGAACTGACTATCCCTCCAGGTTGAACTTCAGAACATCATTGATAACCAAGCTCGGGAACTCAGCCTGGTGGGCTCAGCCTGGTATCATCTGCAAAGCCGTTGGCAGAACAACAACATGACTGTGTCGCGATACCGACATGGCAGCAGCACAGGAGACTCCAAGGGCTGGCTGGCAAAGCAAAGAAATGCTGTCGCTGGTCAGTAGAATGCCTGTGAGGCTCAACCCCGAAGCACTGTGCTTCATTTGCGCCCTTTTCTCTGTTCTTATCTTTGGCATTTGGTTTGTATGTTGATATTCCCACTAGACATTCTGTCATATTCTTGTGATTATTCCTATCCCTGCCCATATGAAATAGAATTGCTGTGACTTGAAGTTCGACTTCATTTGGAGAGTGGTGATTTCATTTGCGTATGTATCCTTTAAAAGCCCAAGGCTTGTACATACAAGTAGAGTGAGTTCGTCGCATTCCAATGTGCTACCTGAGTAGAGCCCCGTAGGAATAAACATGTCTATGAGAAATACAAAAGCGGTCTGGGGGAAATGACCTGAAGAAAGGTGAAAAAAAGGGGGGGATCTAACAATTATTAAACGCGGTCTCTATACAACCTGACCGAAAGCGGGAATCAGAGTCTGTGCCAGCCAGAAGCTGAAGACCAGCTTGGGGCCTGTCATCAGCAGCTTGGGGGTGAGACCCTTGAAGAAGCTGGTGGGACCCTCGTTCTTGAGCATCTTGGAGATGATCTTGGCGCCAGACTCGGGGTTGTCGAAGTTGCGGTTCTGGATACGGGTCTTAATGACATCGAGAGGGGCGGAAACGACGAGAGAGGCACTGGCACCGGCGACAGAGGCGACGAAGTTCTGGCCCCAGGTGGCCTTGTTGTAGTCGCTCAATTTCATCCATTCCTTGGCGAAGGCAGATCCACCGAACAGCTGGTGAAATTAGTGACAATGCGAGGGTGGGAGACAAGGAGGACGTACAGCGAAAGATCCGGGGGCGTTACGGGCGGCAGTCCAGCCAGCACCACGGTACAGACCCATGCCCTCATCGGCAATAATCTTGAAGAGACCACGGCCACGGAAGGCCTCGGGGTTGGTCTGACGCTTAATCTTAAGGACGTCGAGAGGGAGAAGGACAATCTCTCCAATACCGATCAAACTAGAAGGTTTGGGTTAGATGACGTCTCACATGCGAAGCCCGAGGAACTATACCTTCCAGCAGAGGCGTGCATAATGGCCTTTCCGGTACCCTTGCCAAATGCCTTATCGAAGTCATCACCGTGGTGCTTAGCGAGGTAGTCGCGAGCGAAAGGCTGACCACCGTACTTGTAGATTCGCTGGAGAACCTATTGATTGGACGTAATGTGAGCTGGCCATTCCTCTCACCAGGGGCGCGCAACGGCAGAACGAACCTTGTAACCGGCAGCGTATCCCAGACCGGGGAACAGCGATGTGAACTTGCGACCAATGGGGGCATTGGCGTGCTCCTTGAAGACAACCTCCTTGAAAGCGGCAGCGTTGGAAATCTACCCACAACCCAGTCAGCAACAGACTCATCCACAAGATCATGCCGCTGTCAACTCACGCGAGTCTGGTTGCTCATCAATCGCTTGGCAGTGGTGTCAACCTGTGCATGTCAGTACCAGAACACCTTGCCATCGGGCATTGTGCATTGTGCATACAGGGTGGAAGATCATCAATTCGGCGATACCAGCAGAGCCTAGCACAAGTCAGACAATTGTTGCAACCAACACCATTGGGACGACAAACCGGAACCGAGGAGTCGCGCGGTGGCAGACTCCTTCTTAACATCGTTGGAAGCGGCGGGAGACATTATGGCAAGGGCAACAAGCAAAGACAGAGAGAATGACAACGCCGATTCCAGGAACGCCGTCGGACTTAAATTTTATCGTACGGCACGGGCGGCGCTAGTCCCGTTTCGGGTACCTCGGGGCCGCCATCGGACTATACTGTGGAGCCTGGGCCATTGGACGACTTGCTACTTTCGACTCCGTGCTACCAGAATACTACTAGTACTAATAGAAGGATATGGACTACTCACAGCACTGCAACCATTCAATCATGCTCTCTGACTCTCGATCTAAAAAGAAAATTGGGATTTCCATCAAGGTTCATCGCCCTGAGAATCAGAACTAGAGTCTCCAAGTCGAAGCTTTGAAATGATTTGGGTTGGTAGCTAAACAGCATACTATTCGTCAAGCAAAGTGGGAAGAAATAAGAAGAACACCGTGTGAAACGCCAGGGACCCCCGCAAAAAAACAGACAGTCTCCCCAAGGTCGTAGAAGCCTTCTCGGTTGCTCGTTCCGTCGATGGTCAGAGTAGCCACGGAGAGGGAACAGTTCCTCGTTCAAAAAGGACTAAAGGGCCATTACAGGTCACCGAAGGTGTTCTCTCCCGAGTACCTAGTCGTGGTGTCAGCGGAAGTCTATGATATAGAGCATGTGATAGAAGGAGGGGAGAAGCGTACGTGATGTACAAGAAGCCATCTTCGTCCTTGTGCTCTTCGTAGATACTGCTCATAAGCGCAGCAGTGGGAGGCAGGACCTCGTCGACGAAAATAAAGATGGCCTTCTCGGGGGAGAGCTTGATGCGCTTGCGGATCACGTAGACGAACTGTCCTACTGTGAGGTCTGCCGGCACGAGGTACTTCTTCTTGTCGATAGTGGCAATGTCGGACTTTTCCACCTTTTCGCAGATGACCTGTAGATGGAGTGTCCGTTAGCTACCGAACAAGCGGTGAGGACCTGGAGGATGGTTGCCCGAATCGCAATGTCTGCCCCGTGCCAGAGTGTCAAGTCAGGAAACCTACGGGAATGCGGTCGGCATATTTCTGGCGGATACGCTCGGCCTCGGCCTTGCGCTTCTCAAAAGGATGCTCGTCCTTGAACTTGGATCGCATCTTGACTGATAAGGGTTGATAAGTAGAGCGGGTCGGGTGGGGAGTCGGGTTAAGATACCAGAACACTCGTTTGTTACGAAGGAGTAGCTGGAAGGGTGAAGGTGAAAGATCTTAAAGTGAAGAGAGAGAGAGAGAGAGATGAAGAGGGGTGATAGAGGATGACAAGGCGACTTCCCCCGCTGACGTTACGGTAATACCATCACGGGATCCATGGGCGGTGAGTCTGAGTCACGCGGCAGAACGGTAATCAGGTGCCTCTGACGGAGTGACTCCTCAATTACTTCTTCACTGGATGGGTATATAGGATGCCTCTTCATGCTACCTGGGTACTGACAAGGTGCTCCTCGGTGCCTGTAAATCCGACAGTGTCCAGTTAGGTCTCTTTCCAATCACGAAGCGTCGAATTCTAAGCTGCAAGGGCCCAGGCTTATCGCGCTTATCTCAGCTGTGCAAACAGCACAAACGCCGGGCTGTCGTACGATTTGAGCGTTGCGTGGTTGGCAACATTACTATTTCTTCATTTCAACCGCTTTCGCAATTGCTTCTTTGTACAAACCCTACGTCCCTGGCGCTTGAAGTGTAACTGGCTACCCATACTCCGACTTGGTACTCCCCACTGCATTGCGCCCTCCGCCCAATTGCGAAAATGGCCTCCCGGTCATACGCACCTCTACGGAGGTCGCTTGCTCACTTGTCTACACGCAACACTCGCATTGCCAGCTCCCGTGTGGGCCATGCGATCCGCGGCTATTCTACCGGACAAAAGCCGCCTCAGCCAAAGCCATTCACCGTCTGGCGGCCCTATCTGCGCCTTGCTTTTGGCGTGCCATTCATTGGCGCAATTATATACTCCATGGTATGAAAACCTCTTCCACGAAGAATTCCCCGTGCTCATTCATGACAGATGACAGAAGAAGTGACGGAACTCGATGCTCCCTCGATCGTCGAGGTGGATGAAGCCCTCAAGCAATCGTCGAAGATCAACGACTCCTCGCCGATGCGTTTGCGGATGGAAAAGCTGATCAAGCAACACCAACAAAAGATCATCGAGGAACTTGGCAGAATAGATGGGCAAGAATTCAAGACCGATACCTGGTCTCGCCCCAACGGTGGTGGTGGTATCTCATGTGTACTACAAGATGGAAACGTCTTCGAGAAAGCGGGTGTCAACGTCTCTGTGGTGTACGGCAAATTGCCCCGATCCGCCATTGAAAAGATGCGTGCCGATCACAAGTCCTTTGTCGGTTCGGATGTGGAGTCGCTGGATTTCTTCGCGGCTGGTCTCTCGCTAGTACTGCACCCTCACAACCCCATGGCACCGACGGTGCATCTCAACTACCGATACTTCGAAACCTCCGACCCCAAGGACCCTATCAACGGAGATAAGAATTGGTGGTTCGGAGGTGGCACGGATCTGACCCCGACTTACCTTTTCCCGGAGGATGCCCAACATTTCCACAAAACAATCAAGGATACCTGCGACCGCCACGACGCGACATATTACCCCAAGTTCAAGGCTTGGTGTGATAAGTACTTCTACATCCCCCACCGCGGGGAGTGTCGCGGTGTTGGAGGTATCTTCTTCGATGATCTCGACGCCAACTTCCTCCAGACCTCTGCCGGCTCCTCTTCCAATCCCCAGGAGACCCTGTTCTCCTTTGTTTCCGATGGATTGGCGTCTTTCCTCCCGTCCTACGTGCCTATTATCGAGCGACGCAAGGACGAACTTTATACCCCCGAGCAAAAGCAATGGCAGCAGCTTCGTCGGGGCCGCTACGTTGAATTCAACCTTGTTTACGACCGTGGAACCAGCTTCGGACTCCGCACGCCAAATGCCCGCATCGAGAGCATTTTGATGAGTCTTCCGCGGACCGCTAGCTGGGCCTACATGGACCCAGTCTCCGGCACCCGGACAGAGAACATGACTGTGGATGAAGATGATCTGGCAGAGGATAAGAAGAGTGAGAAAGAGCTGATGGATGTTCTCCGACACCCTCGGCAGTGGGCATGATGGGCCCATTCTGTTATATAATTGTACTATTTGGTCTTTTTTAATATCTGAGACATGGACATGTCTCGAGATTATGTATATTATTGGCATATACTTCTGTGCTCCCCGTTAGAAGTCGAAAGACTCCCGGCCAATCTGGCATTTCTGATCATTTCATCATGATGCAACCCAGAGAGCTGCACTCGTTGGATAGGCGGCTCACGCAAGCCACCTGGGCAATGTTCAGTAATCATTTATGCAACCGAGGGCCCCAGTCGGTGCAACAGGTGAGATTGTCAGCATTTCTAGAACCTTCACGAGCATCAATCATCACAGCCTCCCAGAGGTGCGATCATGAGAATATAAAAAGGACAGAAGGGAGATTCTAGCGTTCGAAATCCTCTCAGATCTCACTTCATAAGAACCCTTGATATCTTTCCCATGGCTGAAATCAAGCACGTTCTGGTCGTTGGGGCCAGTGGCAATGTCGGCAGAGCAGCAATCAACGCCTTGCTGGAGCACAAATTCCACGTCACTGCCCTCACTCGGGAGTTATCCAACGCTACGTTCGCAGCGAGCGTGAAGCACCTCAAATCCGATTACTCTGAAGCCTCGCTGGTGGAGGCGTTCACAGGCCAAGACGCTGTAATCAGCACCATGTCTAGTGTGTCACCCGGAGGTGCACTAGCATCCCAGAGGTCACTCATCGATGCAGCCATCGCGGCGAGAGTGAAGGTCTTTTGTCCCTCCGAATTTGGCATCGATAGCTCTGATCGCTCTGCATCCACGTACATCCCGTTCCTCGCTGACAAGATCGACACGGTTGACTACCTCAAATCCCAAGAGGACAAGATCTCATGGACGGCCGTCATCACGGGCTGCATGTTCGACTGGGGATTGAACATTCCCGGCTTCGCGGGCTGGAATATCCCCGCCCGCACGGTGACCATTTTCGACGGTGGTGATATCCCCTTTGAGGCCACAAACATCGATCAAGTCGGAAAAGCGTTGGCGAAGTGTCTGGTACACGCGGATCTCACCCAGAACCAATATGTCTACGTCAATAGCTTTACTACCACCCAGAACGAGATTCTCCAGGCGCTTGAGCAAGTGACCGGCGAAAGCATCATGACTTCGGAGGGCACTGTGGATGAGTTGTGGAATGACGGAGCTGCCAAGGTGAAGGAAGGTCAAGGGCTAGGTGTGTTGGGAATGATTGCGGGAGCCATCTATGGCAAGGGGAACCTGGCTCGGTTTTCTTCCAAAGGGCTGTGGAACGAGAAGCTAGGGCTGCCACAAGAGGATCTAACTGAGTTCTTACGAAAATATGTGACAGCGCAGTAGTGGTCTTCCACGGCTGGGCTCATATATGTCACCAACTCTTGTCTTCAAGGATATCAACATACATTTGATCGCATCGACTATTGATTCTGCCCATTTCTACGTATGAAAGGAGATATTGTACCCTTTGGCACTGCAGCTAACCGATCAAAAATAGAAGTGATAGATCGCTTCAATAGCAATGCCCAAATGGTTGTGCATCTGGGCATGCGGCAAGACTACCTAGGTACCACTCATACCAGGAAATTAGATGCGCCTCCGTTCTTTGGCTCATCCCTTGCCTGATTGAGACCCCCAATGCAGCCAATGCCATTCAGTAAAGCCACTACAGTATGAATAAGATTCTCTAGAGCCTGACAGTCCGCCATCCACCGTAAATTCAAGGTTGACAGCAACCTTAGAAGGATGGAAGGCAGCTGGGCATTACGGATCTCGCAGTGATTTTTTATCGAACAGTGAGTACATTTCAGTTTCAGAAATACTAGGGATACGTCATTTTTATAATCAAAAGACAACCAAAAGGTGCATACTATGTGTACGAGGGAAAGCCATATTGGGCCCGATTAGCCGAGCATGATGTCGGCGAGGGCTCTGTCCGATTTTCGCGCGAGTAACTGCGCTGCCGCAGCAATCCTGTGTGCCAGTTCGTCTGCTTCTCGAATCTGTAGGATGTGGGCTGGAGCGCGGATGGAGATCTCGAGACCATCTTTCCCAGCCATCGAGAACACCCATACCTCTAATCGCATCACCTGGTGCATATATGACTCTGTAATATGTTGTAATGTCTGAGGATTCTTGAGTCCATCCAGAGATATCTCCAATGTTGTATCCAAACTCTGGTGGTGGAAGATGGCACCCAGTGCTGTCTGTGGATTCCAAGGAGTGCAGTGCTCGACGATGTCGGCAAGGTCCATGTCGTCGTAGCTTGTGGTTTGAAGGTGTTGGTCTTGTACGTGCCGGAGATAATAGGCTGCATCCCATGTTGGTTGAATGTCGATGCGAATAGGGAGGAAATTGAGACAAGCCCCCAGAATACTTTCAATTCCAGAAAGGGGAAGCCCACTGCGTCCGTTGACTGTTTGACTGAAGACAATCGCTTCCTTATGGGTCAACTGGCCAAGCACGATTGCACCTGCGGCCTTGATCAACGTGGCCATGGTGACCCCAGCTGGAGGCTCGAAAGATGTGACAACTGCTTTTGCGTCTACTGCTTTAGAACCTTCCGCTTGGGCTTTTCGGTCCTCGTTAGTGAATCTGCATTCCTGTAGGTCGGTCATAGTAGAGCCTTCCAGATAGTTGCGCCAAAATGCGTAGTCGGCGGTATGATCTTGCTGGGCAATACATTCAATATAATCGGAAAATTGTCGACTGAAAGGGAGAGCGCCCTTGCCGTAAGCCACGGCCAGGTCCTCGGTCAGGGTTGACAAAGAAATCCCATCGTATTGGGCGTGAGACAGCCTGAGTATCAAAGCGTGTTGATCTGCCTCGGGGTTCGAGACAAGCATCAGCCGAAATGGGAGAAGATCCATTGGTAGCGACTCGGGCTCATGGCCCCAGAGCTTCTCGGCTACGGCGGAAACCTGGCGAGCAGTCGTGATACAGTGCAGCTGTGCCTTCATATCTGGTAGAGTTACCTGAAGAGTGCGCTGGCCACTTTGGGTGAAGAACGTTCGCAAAATACTGTGTTTCTTGACCACCATGTTGCACGCGGCTTGCAGGCGATCCGTGTCCAAATTACCCTCCAGGATATAGGCAAACCAGTCGAAGCAACTGCGATCAATGAAGAACATTTGAGACTTGCTGACTGGAAGAATCAGCGGTGTCTGTGAACAGGATTCCAGCAATGAGGTTTGATCCCGCAGGTAGGAGAGACAATTTGCATGGGCGTCTTCTTCCACCAGACACACCTGTTGTTGGCGAGGGTTCAAGACGTTCAAAACCTTGGCACTTTGGGCCATTCCACGTAGATTTGAGGACGTGAAGATGTCTGATGCTGTCAAGCCTAGTCCTTTGATGCGTGCCATTGCAACAGCCCGCATGGCAACGATTGAGTCACCTCCCAAACTCAGGAAATCGTCTTCAGGCCCCAGTTGATTCGGGTCGAGGTGAAGGAGATCTGTCCAAATTTGAGCAAGGATCCGCTCTGTATCAGTCTCCAGAACACCAGGGCTCTTTTCGGTGAATTCTTGCACGGTGTTAAGCGTCTTGAGCTGATCCCAAGTCATCTGGGCAACTTCCTGGCGTAGTCGACGCCGGTCCTTTTTTCCCGGGATGGTCTTGGGCATTGTCCCCAGTTGAAGGAAGAGAGAAAGAACCATATATCCTGGCACGAGCTGGGCCAGACTCAGCTTGGCCAATTGAACCCCCGCGCAGAAAGTCTCGCTCGCATCCAAGAAAAGACGCCCATCCCCGGTAGGCCTGTCGACTGTGAGGATGAAGGCTGTCAGAGAGGGAACCGCATTCGACTCTGTGGGAATCACCACATCTATCACGACGTCGGCCACTCTCGGAAACAGGGAACGGAGATGGTGCTCTAGCTCGCTGGACTCCACCCGTTGACCGCGGACCTTGAGCTGGTGGTCTTTCCGGTCCATATGGCAGATGCTCCCATCGGGATTGAAACGAGCCAGGTCACCGGTCTTGTAAAGGACGGCTGGTCGGTTTTGACGAGTCGGCACATGTTGATCCATCCAGGAGGGCGGAAATACAAATGATAGCGCTGTTTGTTGCGCAGCGTCAAGATAGCCTTGGGCCAGATTGGGGGTGTCGATGAGCAACTCCCCCACTGCTCCTATTCCTCGCAGCTGTCTGTGGTCATGAGGGTCTACAATCCAGCATCCTCCACTAACTGGGTATCCGACTGTTTGCTCAGAATCGGAGGAAAAGATGGGATCTGAGACTGCAAAGATCCCCGAGCATTCCGTCAGTCCGTATATCTGGATGAGTCGAGCAAGACGCCCCCAATCGGCTATGTGGCTTTCCTGAACAGGCTCTCCTCCGAGAACAATTGATTTGAGATATCCCAGATCCGGTGGGGAGAGGGTGCTCAAAGTGGTTGGAGAGAGTACCACCCAGTCCACCCCCCATGTCGTTGATGACCTGTGAAAACGAATTCATGCGGCTTGCACTCGACGGAATACACAGAGTCGCGCCACAGCTGAGGGTGCAGAAGACTTCGATCAAAGCCATGCCAAATCCAAGGGAGGCAAACTGCAGAACCCGGCTATCTGACTGTAAGTATAGAGAGGTACAGTGACTGGCGATGGAGGCAAAAGCAGCATGTCCCACAACGCAGCCCTTGGGCTCACCCGTACTGCCCGATGTGAACAAGCAATACGCCGGTGAGGTACGACCTGGGTATCCAAAGCTCGATCCCGGTCCGTCGGCCCACTCATCCTGATGATTCTCCCCTATTGCAATAACCGGTATACCCGTATCGTGCAGGGAGCCAAACTGTTCATCGCAAGCTAGCGCTACATGCGCCTTCGTCTGGCGTACGATACTCGAGAGGCGCTCTGCCGGTACACTGGGATCAACAGGTACAAATGCCGCTCCGCATTTATTGATTGCGAGCATGGCAATGATGGCCCAAATGGACTTTTGGAAGCAGACCGGAACGAAAATATGTGGTCCGACGCCGTGATGGTTGAGATAGGACGCCAACTTGGACGAGAGAGCGTCCAGCTGAGAGTATGTCACAATGCCATCCCACGAATCTAACGCGGGCTTCTGTGGCATCTCGAGAGCTTGTTGATGAACCAATTCATGCATCAACCGGTCACCCGTCTCGATAGATCCATGGGCGTTCCATCTCTGCATTCTCCTGCGATCAGAGCCAGCAAGATCCCATAGATTACAAACTGTCTGTGTAATGTTTACTGAGGCACCTTGGCTGCTATGTCCTGCAATTGATGCAGTATACTTGACGCATGGATCGTCAACATAGTCCACTCGCGCCAGGTCATGACTACTCGGAGCTCGTCTCGACTTTGGTATAGAGAAAACAAGACATCACACGCCTTTGTTCCACTCATTTGATGTTAGACTAATTCAAGGAATGGATCTCAGGTTGTCTTACCTCTGAAGCTTGCAGATGTTCTTCTATAAGCTCGTTCGACGTGCATGACTGGGCATCAGCAACAATGACACCAGTGTTGGGCGGACCACGATTGTCGAATTTGATGGGAATCCACGATGAGGCTTTTAGTACCTTTCTCAATTGCATATTATCTTTAATATCGACGGTCATAGGCTCGGGAGGTGCCCAGGATCCTTGCTGTCCCGGGCTATTCATCCACAGCTCGGTGACGGGACATTCGACATAACGACGCAGAATCACGGACCATAGAGCTCCCAGAACAAAGTTCTCCTGTTGCTTGCTTTCCGCGCCGATCTGGGCGATATGGGCTGCTACTGCTTGAGGTGCTTCGGCACTCGCCCATTGCTCACACCCCCCGGGGGTCTGGTGCAGTGGAGGAAAAACGCATCTTTCGCCATGACTAGCGTCTGCCCGGTCAACTGAAACCATCCCAGGCACTCTGACTGTCGTTGAACTTGGGAGAGCAGGACACAAGGTTCAAATGCGGGTTGACAGAACATGCGCACCATACTCTCAGCAGTCAACAAATATCACAAAGTACGGAGTACTTACTCTGTACTGCACGCCGAGTTGACTGAGCGAATAGTGGAACATGCTTGGAGCGGCACTCACGGCACTCAACAGGTCCCTTGCTCCTTTGTCGAGAAAACTCGCTGGTGCATATACGGAGTATCACTTCGGGGTTATGCTGCCTTGGGTACGACAACCTGCGTGTACAGTAGGCCCTTGCTTGGCCCATTGCAAGCCATGCTGTACGAATTCGACAGCTCTCTCTCTTCTCTCGGTTGATTTCATTTTCTTCAGACTATAAGCGACCAGTCTCAGTGCGTCTACTCCATTCCCCACATGAATATGGTATTTGGGGAAGATCACCGCAGGGATGCAGATGCATCAATGCCCAGGTGTAAAGCATAATACTCCGTAACTCTGCACTCCAGTCCCTTTGCTACTTCGGCTGGACTCCGTACCCCGTATTTTGTATGTCCTCCGTGCATTGCTTTAAGCACTTGCTGATAACAGCGAGCAGAGCCCAATTGCTCTCACCTTAACATTAGTGAGTTGGCGATATGATCTATCACCTTTGAGGTGATGGTGCAGATCCTTCCTCTGCACGCAATAAATAGTCGCTCTTTCAGCTCAAGAAAAGAGGATCTTGACTGGATCTTCATGCCAAGTCTATATGTAATGACAGACTGCATGTGAGAAATCTCAAAGCCAATGCTGAGGCCCGTATGTACTCCGTACGGAGTACGGGCAAGGTCGGGCCGGCCTAGAAGAGAGAAAACACAACAATTGCGATACAGCTGAGGCTCATACCTTGCAGGGACACCTGTTGATTTTTATCCCCGCGGAGGATTGCTTTCATATGAGAAGGTCGAAAGTAGGCAACGGCAGATTTTGCAGATCTCAAAGTATCTGTGCCTGACAATGACCAAGAAACTGCCAGTTCAACGACCAGCGACAGACGCTGTCTGTATATTCCCGCGACTCACCAAAACGGAGGTCGATGGGGTCGCATACCATCAAACAGACCCGGTGGAAGTGGCTATCGGGTCCGTTGAAAAAGTTCTCAAGAGCGAGGATATCGCCCTGAGCTCTTTTGTCTTGGTGGCATGGGCTGTTACATTGCGATGTTTCACCGAATGCCAAACAGCACAGTCTTGGGTGGGAAGTGGCATCGAGGATTCCAACATGAGTGGATTGACAGATATTCTTTCCATTCCAATTGAGCCCGAGAGCTCACTGAAAAGCCTGTGCCAGTCGAAAAAATAGAAAATGACACATCTCCGTCGTCCGGGGCATGCTCCCTGCAATATTGGCATTGCATTTGAAGACCCTGTCTCTATTTCCTGTCCGACCATACGCGAAGAGCAAAACGAATCCTACGATCGGCCCTCTGTAAGTAGTGACTCTGTCAGACGGAATCAATCGGGACTGACTGTGTATGGCGATAAATCAGGGCTGTGAGGTGTGCTTGCAAGTATGTATCGATCTGAACCATCTGCGACTGTCGATTCGATATCGAGAAAGTCTGCTATCTCCTACTGCCGCAGAAAATGTGCTCAGTACCGTTCAGCAAGCTATTCTCAGCGGAATCTGCGATCTTCCAGTGCCAATAATGCGCCTTTCCCTCTTTACAAGTCGACATCAAAGCCATATCGAAGATTTCCAGAGACCACCCTCAGCCCTAGACATGCCGCCAAAGTCCTCTTGGTGGGAGGAGCTGAAGATTTCCGTGTTGGAGCAGGCAGGCAGGCGTGATGCAGTAGCGCTGGATGGGTGGGACGGTGTGTGTACATATGGAGAGCTCGATGAAATGTCGTCTCGAGCCGCTGCTCACTTGCAGAGTATTGGAATAGGCTCGCAGATGATGATTCCAGTGTGTTTTGAAAAATCCATTTGGTCAGTCATTGCAACCATCGGTGTCCACAGGACTGGGGCTGCATTTGTTCCTTTAGATCCGGTCTTGCCCACTGCGCGAATCCAAAAAGTGGTGGCCTTGACGGAGTGCAAGTTTGTCGTTGTTTCATCCACTCAGCAGCACCGATTCGAAGGCTCGTCGGTCACTCCAGTCATTATCAACCAGTCATTATCAATGGAGAGGCTTGGTCACTTTTCCGCTCGCGAATGCACTTTCGCCGTCTGGAGTTTCCATGGAGGACCCTGGCTACTGTCTTTTTACCTCCGGGAGCTCTGGAACTCCCAAAGAGTGCGTTATAAGCCAACGGGCATTTGCGGGAATAAGCCAGCAGAGTACAACGGTGCATCTCAGCGAACGCTCGCGCAGTCTCCAATTCGCCTCTCAGTCCTTCGGTATTTTGATCATCGAGATCTACTGCACCCTTGGCATCGGGGGCACTGTCTGCATTGTCTCCGACGAGGATTGTGCAGGAATCAGCAACTTGGCGCGTGTAATCACTCGAGTCAATGCAAACTGGACCTTCATGACTCCGACGATGGTCGGCTCATTACATCCGATAGAGGTTCCCTGTCTTCAAACAATTGTGACAGGCGGTGAGCCCTTGCAAAAGTCCCAGATCATGACCTGGGCAGCCGCCGTCAGTCTACACCAGGCGTTGGGCTTAACAGAGTGGGCAGGAACATGTTGTATATCTCCTCGCATCACCTCGCCTTCTTGCATGGGAGTGTTTGGGAAGCCAATGCCCCATGCACGAGCATGGCTCGTCGACCCTGGGAATGAGCAGTCTCTTGCCCCCATCGGGGCAGTCGCCGAGCTATGCATTGAAGGAACGTGTCTTGCACAGGGTTACCTCAATGACTCTGGCGCATCATCCAAGGCCTTTATGGTGCACCCTGGATGGGCACAGGAGCCGCTCTTTCCGGCAATCGACGGCCCACGTAGGCTTTATAAGACCGGGGACCTTGTGCGATACATGTGTGATGGAAGTATCCAGCACGCCGGACGAAAAGGCATGCAGCGGAAGGTCCGTGGCCAACGGATTGAGATCACGGAGGTCGAGTACCATCTCAGACAGCACTTCCCTGAGGCCCTGCGGGTGTTTGAAGAAATAATCACTCCTTGTGATGATGCCGCATCGAGTTCGGTGTTGACAGCCTTTCTTCAGCTCGACCAACCAGGGGCTGAGCAAAATGGCAGTGGCAATGGCGAGAACTGGTTTTCCCCCGTCGGTCAGACCCTGCAAGAGCGGATCAATGCAACGCGCCAGGCCCTTTCCTCCCAGGTGCCCCGATACATGATCCCTGGCTTTTTCCTTTGTATTCGTGAGGTTCCCTTTACTGTTAGTGGAAAGCTCGATCGGCGACGTCTGAGCAACTATGCAAACCAGCTCACGCGCTATGGACTGCTTGGCAAGGACCAGGCAAATGGGTCACGCCGGGCACCGGCGACGGAGATGGAGACAACACTGCTTGCACTCTTCGCCTCGTCCCTCAAAACTTCCGTGGATATGGTTGGAGTCGATGATAACTTCTTCCACCTTGGGGGCGATTCAATCAAGGCCATGGCTCTTGCTGGCCGAGCGCGCTCTCAGTATGAACTACGCATCACTGTAGGCGACATCCTTACTCACCCAACAGTCTCTCAGTTAGCCGTTGTGATAGCAGAGAAAAAACTCCCTCCAGAGGTCAATGGCGTTTTACCTTTCTCCCTACTGTTCCAGGCCCAAACCAAGGAGGAGGTTGTCCAAGACGCCTGCAAACAATGCCAAGGCAATCCGACACCATTGAGGATATCTATCCCTGTACACCTCTTCAGCAGGGTATGTTTGCTTTGGGTAGGAAGCAAACAGGTGGTTTTGTCGCTCGCTGAGTTTTTGAATTTCAACAGATGTGCGAGGCCGATGTGCAGCGGCTGAAAGACAGCGCCCCTCTTCGAACTCGGATCATTGTCTCTGCATCCCAGCACATGTATCAAGTGCTGCTCTAAGAAGAGCCTGTCTGGCACGAGTCGGCTACTCTCTTCACGCGGGACGATCGAGACGAGAAGCCCGAGCTGCTGGTCGACTTTGGCCATCCATTAGCCCGGATTTCCATTCACCGGGACAATACTAGCAACTGCATCCAGCTAGCGCTCACTATGCATCACTCTGTGATTGACGGGTGGTGTTCCCGCAAGATCCTGGATCAGGTAGAAGCGGTTTATCATGGGAAACCTCTGACAGCGTCACCTCCGTTCGCTACTTTCGTCCAATACCTCAGCCAGCTTCCAGACCACAAGGCATACTGGACGGAGTACTTCTCAGGGATCAATACAGAGGTATTCCCCAGCTTGCCCGTGTCCTATGAGCCTTGCCCCACGGCTGAAGTAACTGACTGACTTCCGCTCACGGCCTTTGATCCCGGGTGATTCACCCGTTCCGCAGTCTTGCGCCTCACCTGGGCGATTGTGCAGTCTCAATATCAAGGTAACAGCGACATTGTCTACGGCGTGACTGTGTCTGGACGGAATGCACCCGTTCCGGGTATCTTGACAATAATCTCCCCAACAGTAGCGACCATGCCATTCCGAGTACGACTAGATCCAGCCGCATCGATTGCGGACACACTGGACAGTGCAGTTGCGCAGACGGTCAGGAGCATTCCTCATGAGCAGACGGGACTGCAGAACATCAGGAAGTTTGGCGAAGATGTCGCCGCTGCGTGTGAATTTCAGACACTGCTCGTAATTCAACATATTGAAAGCACTACGGGGTACAGTCTGTTGGGAGCCGAGGCTCGGGAGACCAGCCTCTCTGCTTTTGGCACACATGCCCTCACTCTGGTCTGCAATCTTAACGCGGATCCGGTGGAGCTGAAGGCATGGCACGACCCTAAGATCGTACCCGAACGACAGGTCTGTCGTATCCTCGGTCAGCTCAAGCATGTGGTTGAAAACATTTGTAAATCACTAGCTGCCACAGTGAATGACTGCATGACTGTGAGTCCAAGTGACGCCGAGGAAATCAGCGCCTGGAATCGGCCAGTTCCAGCCTTATCTCAGGAAGGCGTCGAGGTACTGTTTCGCCAGCAGTGCGTGGCACATCCGAACCAACTCGCAGTAGATGGATGGGATGTGCAATTTAGTTATCAATCCCTCGATGAGCACTCCACTCAGCTGGCCAAGCACTTGGTATCGATGAAGATCGGATCCGGGGAATTCGTACCCATCTGCACTGAAAAGTCCGGATGGACGATTGTCTGCATGTTTGCCGTGATCAAAACCGGGGCTGCATTCTTTCTTCTTGATCCAGCGGTCCCGAAGCAGCGATTGGCGAGTAGTTGCCAGCAGGCGAAATCCAAGCCGGTACTCACGACGACTGGAACTCTTCCACTTGCACCGGAACTAGTGGCAAATGTTGTTCTCGCAGATGATCTATACCCTGCCAGAACGGACATATCCCTGCCAGCCATTGAGCCAGATCACCCCCTGTTCGCCGCGTTCACTTCGGGGTCATCCGGTGTTCCCAAAGCGGCCATGGCGAGCCACCAATCATTCCTCAGTTACTCTCTCCCCGTGATGACGAGGATGGAGATAGACGGGAGAGTCCGATGGCTCCAATTCTGCTCCTATGCATTCGACATGAGTGTGAACGAAACTCTGTGGACGATGCTAGGGGGTGGCTGTATCTGCGTTCCATCTGACTCGGGGCGCATGGACAACTTTGTTGATACTGTAACAACCTTCCGTCCGACTCGCACTATCCTCACCCCCTCCTTTATGCGCTCGATTGATCCTAAGCATCTCCCATCTCTCCGCGCACTCATGCTGGGTGGCGAGCCGACACAGCCGTCGGACCTTGCCGCCTGGAGCCCATACATGAAGCTGATGATGGAATACGGACCTGCTAAGTGCGGCTCAACTCACCTTCGGTCCTATAGTGAGAGTCCCGATGACCCTTACACATCCGTTGGGTTCCTCACAGGTGGTGCCAACTGGCTTGTGGCCCCTGGGGACCCGGAAAAGCTTCTTCCTATCGGTGCAGTGGGCGAATTGTTACTCGAAGGCCCGTTCGTCGGGCAGGGGTATATGCACAATGCGGCCAAAACCCAGGAAGTCTTCCTTGCAGAGCCCAGTTACGTGCGAAAGCTCCGTAATGGCCCGAGTCGCGTGTATAAGACTGGCGACCTGATGCGATACAATGTTGATGGGTCCCTCAGTTTCGTCGGACGGATGGATTCTCAGGTCAAGATCCGTGGGCAACGGATCGAGTTGACCGATGTGAAACTCATCTCGCGAAGTGCTTCTCCGCTCCTGTCCAGGTCGTGGTCGAGCTGGTCTCGCCGGAAGGCCGTGGAGCACCTTTCCTCGCAGCTTTCATCTTCACCCCCATTGAAGGCCAGCGGGGTACCAATTCGGACACGAAAAAGACGAATGCAAGCTGCCATGTCTTCCATCAACCGGAAGAAGGATTTGAAGAGTATGCAGCCAAGGCTCTCGTTCTGCTTCGTGATCGACTACCTCGCTTCATGATCCCGTCGATGATGATCAATCTCGCACGCATGCCACAAACCGCTAGTGGCAAAATTGATCGTAGATACCTTCGAAAGACATTAGCTGAGTTGCCAGATGAAGAGCTCAAGCAATTCCGTGCCAGGAATGAGAAGAAGCGTGGCCCAGCCACCGAGATGGAACAGAAGATTCAAACCTACTGCGCCGTGGCCTTGAAGATCCCATGCGATGAGGTTGGTCTGAATGACAGCTTCCTCCAGATTGGTGGCGACTCCATCAGCGCCATGTACATGGTGGCCGAAGCCCGCAAAGATGGAGTCACAATCAGCGTGGTTGATATTCTGGACAATCCTCGCCTGTCCAAACTGGCCAGTCATGTGGCAAATCACAACGGCTCTTTGGCCAGCCCCAGCTCTGACAGTAGTGCTGAGATTGAGCTGTTCTCGCTCGTCGATGACGAGGCTCGGACAGAAGCCACACGTGAGCTCTTGCAGCTGCAGATCGTAAAGCAGGAATCGCATATTTTGGACATCCTACCAGTGACTGCGAGTCAGCATTTCTTCCTCACTCAGTGGACTCCATTCTTCGGGTGCTCCTTTTTGACTGGTTTTGTTGACGGGAAGCGCCTTCGCCGCGCCTGTCAGGCTGCGATGTCTGCCCACAGTATCCTGCGCACTGCGTTTGTGCAAACGCAGCACGGTTTGCTCCAGGCAGTACTTCAGAACATTGACCTTCCATTTCAACAGAGGACCACGACAGAGGACCTGCTGACCTACTGCGACGCGGTGTGGCAAAGGGACTCGGAGATAGCATCCACTGTCAACACTGCGCCGCTCCGTTTTGAGCTCGTGTCGCGGTCGGCAACAGAGCACGCTTTCATCGTCCGTGTCTCCCACGCCCAGTATGACGGTCTCTCGATGCCAACCCTGATGACTGCTTTGGCAGCGGCGTACACGGGGGACACCCCAGAGGCCGTGATCAACTTCGCCAATTATCTGCACCTTCGCTCTTTGCAAGATCATACGGCTACATACGACTTTTGGCGCCAGTATCTGCTCGATTCCTCGGTCCGGTCATTGGATATTTCCACCGATGGACCCTCTCCGAGTCCAAGTCCTAGTGCCGCCTCTTCGCGCATCAGCGCCGGACAAAACATCCCCATGCCCAGTCTCCCTGTCGGCCTGACTGTCGCAAGTCTTGTCAAGGCCGCCGCCGCCTGGCTCTTCACCCGGAATACTCATCACACCGATATCGTCCTGGGTCATACCGTTTCCGGGCGCGGTATGCCCGTCGCAGGTATCGAGAAGATGCTCGGACCCTGTCTGAACACCATTCCATTCCGGGTGAAGCTGCAGCGCGGGTGGAAGGCAGTCGATCTTTTGCAGCACGTTCAGAAACAATGCTCCGCGACTCTTGCGCATGACTACGTGGATCTCGCGGATATCGGCCGCAGCAGCACCGACTGGGCGGATACTTCTCTGCCCTGTGTTATCCAGCATCAAAACATTGCGGAGGGTTCCGCACTTCCGTTACCTGGCGTGGCATGTACCTCGTCTGGGTGGGCATGTTTCATTCCGGAATCTGGGATGTGGATTTTATCCACGCCGCAGGACGACAAGTTGCAGGTGATGCTGTGTACTTCTGGGGCATTCATGTCGCTGAAAAGCGCCCGAGCCTGGGTCAAGGATCTTGCGACCGCCATCACTCTTCTCGCCAGCCAGCCAGATCTGTTGTTGGATGATGTTCATATATAGAATTGTAACTTTGTTGTTTCGGAGCTTAGAGAGAGGAAATGTGACTAAAATGTGACTAAAATGTCACTTTTGTTTGCTTTTTTTTGGCATTTACAGTGTATTGTAATATAATCTGATCTCTGGATTTTTATCATTGAGCTATGTGGAGCTGAGGGTACAAAGTGGGGATTCAGCCCTGGAGATGTGAATCGAGATCTCAGCTGAAAACCCCGAGTTTCGGACTATCGAACCCTCGAGATTCTTCTTAACATTGAACTCCCACATATCGGCTAGATCGACACAGTGCATCATGCAATGCTTTCTGACCGCAAGTTGGTCACCGCTCGTAAATCCTGTAACCCCGCGTACTGGACGCAGTTGAGATCGAAATCGAGCTAGACGTGGCAAATCACTTGGGCATCAGAGCTGCAGGCGCATGGAGCTCACGGTCCAAGTTGGCTCCCATAATTAACAGCTGGCTCCTGTCTCTCCGTCGTCTAATCCTTTCTTCATCAACCTTCACAATGTTTCAAAGTGGTAGGCACATCCGTCCTCGCGAGGCTTCCTCATACTGACCGACAGCTCTACTGGTACGACAAACCCGCGACAACCATGGCGCCTACAAAATCAGCCAGGTGGTGAACCCGACCCTCTCGGGCTACAAGAGGAACGATCGGATGCCCTTCAGCTCGACGGCAGGCATATTCACAGTAAGTGCCACAGAGTCGATCTCCCCACCCGGATGCTGAAGTGCCCTAGGTATCCGGATCGATTCATATGGAAACGCTGGAGATGGAGGTCACACTGGGGGTGTACGAAATGAACCTCGGGCTCTTGCACGGATACGCCGGCCAACCCTTTAACATCGCCTTGGATCTCAGCATGGTGAAGGGGGATATCGAGATCCGGATGTCAGGCTTCGATGAATTATGGCTGGATATCAACACTCAGGTCTTCCAGATGACCGAGGATGGCACCGGCCAGTTCGTCCCATACAAGAAAGCCCATCGCATCTTGGAAATGCCGGGCATTCGATGCGCCCCATGGCTTTCCCCAGGTGCGAATCTTTAAGACGGGGACAGTGCGTTGCATCTTTGAAGCGATTTCCATTATTCCGTACCTAATGCGCGGGGGAGCCTGATGCGCGATCCGCGATGTATGAGATCAGTCTAGGTTCAATCATACATCTCACTCAGCAGTCCTGGAGAGCGTATACTTGTAGATGATCAGATTCGAGTTCTCGATACGCAGTAAGGCACAAACTCCGGTTCCCTCTGCTGTCTTCTGCGCTGTGACGTAACACATCGCACTGAGAACATGCAGTTCCAGTGCTTTCGGTGCTGCTCACGGCATTCCAATGTTGTTGGTATGTCAAGGAACTACCTACATAGGTACCTAGGTAGGTATCTCGAAAGCTTGGCGGGTGATCCCCGGGGCCACAGACCCTCTTTCCGCTTCTGTAGCCACAATCCTGGCATCTTTTCACCCAATGGCAAGATGGCCGAGTTGGTCTAAGGCGTCAGGTTAAGGTCCACCTTAACTCAATAACTGTTCCCAGTTTCCTGATCTACGTTGTAGGCGTGGGTTCGAATCCCACTCTTGTCACTTCTTTTTTGCTTCCAGCACATCAATTTCCAGCTGGTACTTAAGTTGTATCTTTTTTGATTTTTGGCTTTTATTCTATATGAAGCTAGAGGAGCTTATTGTATCAGATCGGTGTGATGTCCAATGTTGATTTTCGATTAGGCATGGAGTGCCTGTGGGCGGAGTACCCTGTGCTCTATATGGGTCTTCTAGGAGCTTAGGTTGCTAGTGTGGATTTGGATACTTATTGAATGGTAATAAGTACCTAGGTAGTGTAATCTATTTTGAATAGGAACCATGTCCCATTCAAGGCTTGGAATCTTGTGGAGCTATGGGAAGGGGAATGATTGATGACAACACTTTCCAAGGTTTATTTCAGTATGGCCTTGGGAGGATCTTGACTTTCTGGTTTCCAGGCTCCTGTGACTTATCATCAGTAGTCTGTGCTACTAGGTAATATGGTGGTAAGTTCACTGGCAAATATAGTGTAGGGATATAAGAGATAATGTCTGCATACTCTCTACATTATTCCAAGGCTTAGATCCATAGGCAGACTCCCGAGGTCAGGGTCCCTGGATCATTAACTCTTATGTCAAGTTGATCCATGATGCTGTATGGGTAGTATATGGATTGAGATCTCTCTCTGTCGAGTACTGTGTGTCCTTGTTCACTTCCCTGTCTCCATGCAACCCCGCAGGAGACTACCTACCTATGTAGTATATCTACGGAGTACCACATAATAAATATATACCTACCTAGGTAGGTACTAGGTACACATGACCCTAAAAGAATACAATAAAATTTCCTAAACCTGGTTTACAGGATCAATCAGGATTGTAAAAAAGAGAATACCTGGGTACAGTTTCATATTTAAGCCAATACTTATTCATCATCCCCAAGACAACTTGGAAATTCCCCAGAATTAAAAACAGCATTCCCTTATCAACGATGAGGATGTTAGATTGGCAAAAAAAAAATGACAAGAGTGGGATTCGAACCCACGCCTACAACGTAGATCAGGAAACTGGGAACAGTTATTGAGTTAAGGTGGACCTTAACCTGACGCCTTAGACCAACTCGGCCATCTTGCCAATTAGATGAAACGTTGCCAGGATTGTGGCTACAAAAGCGGAAAGTGAAATCTACTGTACACCAAAATATTCGTATATCGTAGGATTTTTCCACGCCGAGGGTAGAGTGTGATTTATGTATGGCAATATTAGAGCTCAAGGACATAATAGATCATTCTTTACAACCAACTTAGATGTCTCCGGGGCTCGACCTCCAAATTACAGCCGTATATAAAAAAAACTAGGGAATCAAATTGCTTCCACAGATGCCTTCGCCCTATTTCCTATGCAATTATTCCAAGACTTCGCCATTTCAAGCCCAGTTATGGAACCGCCTCAAACCCCAAGGCCACGCACTACCAGCTCATTACAGTCTTTCAAGAACATTGCAACCTCCTCCTCGTCATGCCATGCATCGTTGTACGCAGCGCTCAGGCACATACACCCACGGAAAGTGCCCAGAAAGAGGCCGAGTCCCGTGCCTAGCTCTTCACCAGTTACCCAGGGACTATCCAATTCAAACAGGCCGTGCGTTGGAGCCAAAATCTTGTCAATGACACCCATGCTGGAGATGGAGGCCGAGGGGGTCAGGTTTGGCGCCGGGACTGGGGGCGCTTTCGATCCCGCCGGGTAGGCTGGGGTGGCGAGGGCCCAGTAATGCGGCACGAGGGAGATATGCTCCTTATCATCCCGGATTCCGACATAGTATTTTCTGACCTGGTCGACTATCCCCAGGTATTCATTGGCTTCGCTGAGTCCTTGGTCCTCGGTGCTCGCAGGCACGTCCATATCAATCACGAGGCTCGATCCAGAGACAGAGTGATATACGGCGGCTGCATGAAGGGGTGTACTGTAGGGTTTGTTGCAGTGCGAGCGTTCGTTGATCAATGAGTAATTGATATATCGCGTCTTGCGCTTGTTGGGACCCCGGTGTTGAAGGTTCCTGAGCACCAGGGCAATGGCCGCATGGTAAACATGTGTCACGCTGGCACCGATCTGCTTGGCGGCCTTCAGAATTCTCTTGGACTGCTCCAGATCCAAGTTCAGTTCGATCCGTTGATGACGCTGTGGAACCACTGGTCCATGTCGGAAAGGTAATTTCACAATCTCTATATCCTGACGCAGCGAGGCATTAGATTCGGCCATTTTCTTCAGTCGGCTTTGCTGCTCTTCGCCCAGCGTGGATGAGATAGAGGCTGCCACACGCAATGGGGGGCTCAGATTTTTCCATTCCAGGCCGAATGGCGGCAGAGGGGAGCTCGGGCTCTCAAGAAACAGAGCTGCATGTTTGAACAGATTGTCGAGCAGGTGTAAAGATCCCACACCATCCACGATATCATGTTGCGATCGAAGGACCACGTCGGCTTGGTTGTCAGTGCCCTCGCGAGTAATGAGAAACAGCGTCGGCAACTTGGGCACCGGGGGATCAGAGTTACACCACTCCTTCCCGGTCTGACCGGTGGAGACCACACGGAATGTCTCATCGAGCCACGCCTGATGGTCTGTATCTTCGTCGAAAGGCTGGTATATCTTCTTGCATCTCTGGCTGGAGGGGTCATACTCCACCCACGAGGCAATGGTAGGATGGTCATAACGAAGTTGCAGCCACGCCCGTCGTAGTGCGGTCACTGGATCCCGAGATGGCGGAACTGAAAAAGAGACATGGGCCGTCATCGCAAAAAAGGTTCTGCCCGACCCTTCAAATCTCCTCGCCAGGGTGGTGTAGAATTGTTCGGCTTCATCGACATTGCGTTCCCACCGTCCTGCGGTGTTCGTCCAAGTAAAATCGTCTGCCATGGTGAAAATTGAATCGCGTTATACTCTTCTCAGGCCTTGGGTTGGGTATATATAGAGCGGCAGTGGCTTAGGTCTGTTCCATTAGCCCGAAGTTTAGCCGGGCAGTGGGGTCAGAAACCCCAAAGACAAGCCCTGTCAAGACTGTTCTGTTCAGGAGTGTTGTCCGTCGCGAAATGGCCCAAGTAGTCTCCACCGAGTAGCTGGCCGAACTGCCGCATTTGGTAAAAAGGCCAATCGGCGTGGATCCCGTGGAACCGGTCCTTTCGCCTCGCGATGGACGTGACAATGTCCTTGCACTTCCATCTGTCTTTTCAAAATCGACACTGTCACGTCTGCTAGATATAGTAGTAATATAAAAGTGTTCGTTAAATACGGTAGACCAAGGACTGCCTTGAATTCGTCGTGCAGATCTCTTGGCGCAGTTTGACAGCGGAGAATTAACGCACCTGAACATGTAGGTTAATGTCCGGCTAAACGTCGGCGTTCTCCATAGAGTTGGGTATATCATTCGAACAGTCACTCTCTTCCCTGTTCACATCATCGCACACCATGAGCACACACAACCAGAGTGAGATCCAAGGAGATGGGTTTGTAGAACCCCTCGAAATTGTGGATCTTCCTGCCAGTCCAGTCAAGTGGGAATATCTCAAAATCTTCAGTGCAGGTGTATCCTTCTTCGTGGCGGGCATCAACGATGGAAGCCTCGGATCCATCATTCCCTATCTCCTCAAAGAATACGCCATCAGCACCAACATGGTATCGATCCTGTAAGCCAGTGCCAGAGCCCAGCAGAAGCATGTCCCAACGCTGAGACCACTAGATACGGCGCAACATTCGCGGGGTGGTGCATTGCAGCCCTGACTAACAGCACCATCACTCGCTATCTGGACCTCGGCCCAACGCTGTGTGCAGGCGCTGCCATTCAGATTCTCGCTCATGCTCTCCGAGTCTGGGATCCTCCTTTTGCTCTGTACATCGTGACATTCCTGATTGCGAGCCTGGGCCAAGCGTACAATGACACATTTGCAAACACATTCGTGTCGACATTGGACAACGCACATCGGTCCCTCGGCTTCATCCATGCCATGTATATGGCAGGGTGTCTAGTTGGTCCCTTTGTGGCAACGGGGGTCGCATCGGCCAACATAAACTCCCAATGGTATCTCTTCTATCTGTTCCCGCTGGGACTAGGCGTTATGAATCTTGCGCTGGTGGGCACTGCGTTCCACGATCATATGTCGACACCGGCATCTCTGCGCGCTCGAAGGAGGGAGCAGCCTGACACCAAATCGCCTTTGCGGGAGATGCGAGATGTGATCTTGACCCCTGACGTCTGGCTTTTGAGCTTGTTTTTCTTTTTCTTCCTGGGTGCCACTATTACATCGGGTGGTGCGACTCCCAACACCCCGAGTGGTGATTGTGTATCCTGGCTGACTGGACTTGGAGCATTTAGGCTGGATGGTCGAGTACCTGGTTGAAGTTCGAAACGGCGATGTGGCACAGATGGGATATATCCCAGCTGGCTTTTCCGGCGGTGCCTTTCTGGGAAGGCTGTTACTCTCCGAACCCACGTATCGGCTGGGCGAGCGGCGGATGATATTCCTGTACGCGGTGATCTGCCTAGGGTTACAAATTGTCTTTTGGCTGTAAGTTGAGACTAGACCGAGTCTGTTGAATCGCCTTTCTGATTTGAATACCAGGGTTCCCAACATCATCGCCGCAGCCGTGGCAGTCAGTTTCCTGGGTCTTTTCTCCGGCCCTTTCTTCGCATCAGTGAGTTTCCATCTGTACACGCATGAATTCCTCTCACAGCATCTGTTCCAGGGAATATCGGTGGGCACCAAGCTGTTTTCAGCCGAGATTCGCTCCTCGGCGCTCGGTAAGACCACTCAACCTTCATCTAGTGCATCTATCGCTGACTCGTGATGGATACAGCGTTTGTGTTTGTCCTCGGGCAAATTGGAGGCTCCGTTTTCCCTGCTGTGACTGGCATCATTGCAAGCAAGGTCGGTGTGAAGGTGTTGCAGCCCATGCTTGTTGGGCTTCTCGGGGCCACTGGCATCAGTTGGTTGATCATCCCAAAGCAAGCGCGGTTGCATCGGGACTAAAAGCCGTAGAGAATATGTGAACACGGACAGCCAGTAAATATTAAGCACTCGTGAACAATGATAACCGAAGTAAAGTCAATGGACAAAAAGCAAAAAGAAATGACAAGAGTGGGATTCGAACCCACGCCTACAACGTAGATCAGGAAACTGAGAACAGTTATTGAGTTAAGGTGGACCTTAACCTGACGCCTTAGACCAACTCGGCCATCTTGCCATTGGATGAAACGATGCTGGGATTGTGGCTACAGAAGCGGAAAATACTTCTCCAACGATAATCCGAACAATGAAACATCAGTTGTGCTACTCCCCGTCCCATCTACTCCGTAGACACCTGGGCATTCAACAATTGTCCCACAGAATAATCTGACAGAAATGATGTATGTCAGAAACATCTGCCCAGTGTCAATCTACTTGGCATATGACTTCTTGACAGGTTGATGCAGAGCTGCATACTCGATCAGCCAGTGATCACCAAACCGCGCAAATCACGCCATCTTTAGCCTTTGTCTTCCCCCTCAACTTCCAGCTATTTGAAGCTCAGACCTTTTCCTCCTTGCATTGACCATTCTTACTTCAAATTGTACTCCGTAAAGTCGTTTCGTCTCGCTGAGCTCCAGCTGCCCCGCACAATGGCAGAGAATCTCCACTTTGATACCCTACAGCTCCACGCTGGGTAAGTCTCCATTGCCCCGAATGTATCTCAAATCTGAACGAGAGAAGCCATGAGCCCGATCCCACCACCAACTCCCGGGCAGTCCCCATTTATGCCACGAGTTCCTATGTCTTCAATGACTCGGCCCACGGCGCCAGGCTCTTCGGCCTCAAAGAGTTCGGCAACATCTATAGTCGCATAATGAACCCGACAGTAGATGTCTTTGAAAAGCGCATCGCAGCCCTGGAGGGCGGTGTTGCCGCCATTGCCGCATCCTCGGGCCAGTCCGCGCAGTTCATGGCCATCACGGCCCTCGCGCATGCCGGTGACAATATTGTCTCGACCAGCAATTTGTATGGCGGCACGTACAATCAGTTCAAGGTGATGTTCCCGCGGCTGGGAATCACGACCAAGTTCGTGCAGGGAGACAAGGCGGAAGATATTGCTGCTGCCATTGACGACAAGACCAAGGCGGTCTATCTCGAGTCCATTGGGAATCCGCGGTACAATGTCCCTGATTTCGAAGCCATCGCGAAGGTAGCCCATGACAAAGGTGTCCCCGTTGTGGTATGTACTTATTCATGAGATGCACGGAGTAGAAGGGAAACTCACATCCGGCTGGCGGTAGGTCGACAACACATTCGGTGCAGGCGGATACTTCGTCCGTCCCATTGACCACGGCGCCGACATTGTCGTCCACAGTGCAACGAAATGGATTGGCGGCCATGGAACCACGATTGGAGGAGTGGTGATTGATAGCGGCAAGTTCGACTGGGGTAAGAACGGGGCTCGGTTCCCTCAATTCATCGAGCCCTCGGAGGGATATCATGGGTTGAAATTCTGGGAGACCTTTGGATCCATTGCGTTTGCAATTCGAGTGCGCGTCGAGATTCTCCGAGATGTCGGCTCTGCTCTGAATCCCTTTGCTGCGCAGCAGCTGATTCTGGGTCTGGAGACTCTGAGTCTGCGGTGTGAGCGTCACGCATCTAACACGCTAGCGCTGGCTCGATGGCTGGAGAAGAATGAGAATGTGACGTGGGTGTCTTACCCGGGACTCGAGTCCCATCCATTCCATGAACTTGCGAAGAAGTATTTGCCGCGTGGATTCGGTGGTGTGTTGTCCGTGGGAATCAAAGGTGGTGCTGCCGGCGGCGCTCAAGTGGTGGATAACTTCAAGCTGATTTCCAACCTGGCCAAGTATGATATTTTCCCTGCGGCAGCTTTGCATTTGATTTCTGACATGTTATAGTGTCGGTGATTCCAAGACCCTGGCCATTCATCCCTGGTCCACCACCCACGAACAGCTTTCGGAACAAGAGCGCCGCGATTCTGGTGTCACCGAGGATGGAATTCGAATTTCGGTTGGCACCGAGTATATTGGGGACATCATTGCCGACTTTGAGCAGTCGTTCAAGGCTTCTCAGGCTGTACCAGACCGCAGCGTTTAGGCATCGGACTGTCAAGGTGGTATCAGATGGGAGGTTCTACGTAGGGAGAGATCCAGATTAGCAACGAATTAATGAGAACGATGCACCATTACGTTTGACAAATGCACAGGTGGTATAATAATAATAGTCATTTGAATATCATGTAGATGCATCAATGAGGCCCTCGGCCACCAAAGCACAAATTAACGTGAAGATAAGAATATGTGTTGCGCAAAAACCACGAGAACCTCCCGCCAACCCAGATGAGAAAATAAAGAGACCAACGCCATGAGATGCAAACTTTTAATTACCCTGACCACCCGAGGGAGGCTGACCGGGCATGCCCTGACCCATCATAAAAGGAGGCAACATGGGCATACTGGCGAAGTTGAAGCCGTACGCGGGGACGGCAGGCGCGACCCCAGGGTTGTTGTTCATGTTGGACATATCAGGTTCTCCCATTCCATAATTGTCACGCTCGCGACGACCGCCAAAGCGAGCCTCGTTGTTTGGGTTGGGCTGACGCGTCGAGATAGGGCCCCGCTTGCCGCCAGTGTCGGTGGCGATACGACGACTGATCGCCTTGGAGGAAACACCCGCGCCAATCTCAATATCGGGCTCCTCAACAACCATGCCGGATTCAATTTGACGGCCACCGGTTCCGCCGTACTCGGCAGTGAGCATCCACTTGCGATCCGCCTCGGTCAATCGATCAACGGGGATGATGCTGACACCGGTCTGGTAATCACTGCAGTCACGGGGGCCAAAGCCAACACCCCAACGGGTACGGAGCTGCATCTCTCCAGTGCGGTAGGATTCCATTCCATCGCGAGCCTGGGTGGCATCTTGACGGCTCACCATCTTAATGAAAGCGTGGCGCTTATCCACGTTGACAATGCATGTCTGAACAACTCCAAATTGGCCAAAGAGCGAGCGCAGGTGCGACTCCGAGGAAGTGACACCGCCAACAAAGAGGGTTCGGCTCAGGACCTTGATCATACCCTGGCCGATCGAGTAATCCCACTCAATAAACTTGGGACCGGGAGGAGGCAAGTTGGGGTCCTTGTTGCGAGATGGGGAAGGCGAGCGACGGCGGCCGCCGCGAGCACCAGGTGGACTGCGCTGGCGATAGTCGCCCCGACGGCCACGAGCATCACGGGGATCTCCGCCACGACGACCAGGCGAATCTCCATGGTATTCGCCATATACAGGGCTCTCGCGACGACGGGGAGGCGAGGCGGTACGGCGGCGATCCCAGCCGGGAGAGCGAGACCGACGGCGGTACCCAGTGGGAGGAGAGCGAGGGTAGTCGCGTCCTCGGTCATCCATGTTCTGCGAATCGGGACGACCCCATCCACCAGCATTCTGGCCCTGCATGGGAGGGAAGCCAGGCATACCGGGCATCGCGGGCATACCACCCATACCATTGTTACCGACCGAGCTGAAGATCTGGAGAGCGGTTCCCCACTGATCCTGAGGGATGCCCTGAGCAGCAAGCATCTGCAGCAGTTGAAGTTGAGCGGCCATAGCATTGGGATCGGGCACGGCAGGCTGCGCAGTCTGGGGAAGCATGGCGGCCAGCGGATTGGCTGCAGCCAGCGGGTTCGGGGTTCCGTTCTGGCTGGGCGGGAGAGCAGGGTTTGGAGGCATGCCAGCCAAACCCGCGAAGGGGTTCGCGGCGGGGGCGGCCCCGTATGGGTTCATGGGGGCTTGAGAGGTAGGGTCGGCGGCCGGGGCAGCTGGAGTGAAGGCGGCCAGCGGGTTGGCCGGGGCAGGGGCCGAGGCAGGTGGCGCGGTGTTGTTGCTCTTGGCCATGTCTGCCAGCGCCTTGAGGATGCTGGAGGTATCAGGTGCGGCAGCGGCAGCGGCAGCGGCGGGCTGTTGCGGGATGCCCAGCGGGTTCGAGTTGGGTGCAGGCGAGCCTTCTGGGGTGTTCGATTCGACATTTTGAGCCGCGTTCATCTTCTCTTTGAATGAGGCCAGCATTGGGGCCGGGAAGGTGGCGCCTCGTTCCCAGATGTCGACCAGCTTCTTGATCTTGTCCTAAAGCGAGCTCCTCGTTAGCTGTGATTCCAGACGGTGCAGGTATACTTCGGTCCAAGGTATGTGGGATGCGCCCACACGACTGAGTCGGCGCCACAGCCCTGAAGTGAAGTGAGGCGGGATGTTCGTACCTTTTGATCCTGAGGAGCGTTGTTAATGATGTCGGTCATAAGCACAGGCAGAAGGTCAGTGACACGCTTGACACCAGCAGCGAATGTCCCATCTGGCGCATCACCACCGGGAGCCTGACCGGTCTTGCGGGCTGCCTCTACCCATTGTCGAGTTACTGAGTCTACGACATAGAGGACACCAAGCTTGTGTGTGCCGGGGGCTTTCTTGAAGTGAGTGTAAATTTTCTGGATGAGCACAGATTCATTCTGCGGTTGATTAGCATAGCTCAAGATCAAAAGCGTGGGCGCAATCGACCCAAAGGGGACAAGCGTACCTGCACGTTGGCTGTGCACAACGATGTGATGCCACCAATCTTGGATCCTGATACGCCAGGCGGCTTCAAAGCCAGCATGGATTGGAGGAGGTTCTCCAGTTCAGCTACTGCGGAAGACATCGCTGGACTAAAGTGAAGGTGGTCACGCGGTGAAGGAGCGCGACGAGCGAGAAAATAGGTAGACCCGGACTTTTAGGCAGTTGAGAAGAGTCAACTGAGAGGTCCTTGGCTTACTGCGAGATCGCAAATCCCCTTGGCAAGATATGGTTTTAAGCGGGTGTCGGTTCTTCACTACAGACTCCACGAGCGCATTCACTGTCGAGCAGAGAAGTGCCGCCTACAGCTGAGATACAGCCTAGCGATATTGTGTCCAGGGACTGGTGCCTGCCGAGTACGAGAGTACGGGGAGTACGGGAGATGTACAGCCTAGAACGTTCTTTGTAGTGAGATCCCAGGGAGTAAACGAAGAGCGAAACCGGGTTTACGCGAGTCCTGGGCAGCCACTGGGATGGACTGAGGGCGCAAAACTGATGAAATGGAAGTTGAAAAGGAACAGGGGGGAAAGCGAAGATGGAAGTGGCAGACGGTCGGGAGGAGAGGCAGAATTTGCGACCTGACACTAGTCCCGTTCGGGTGTATCACGTGCCTGCTCAGCTGGTCCCTGATTCTGCCACCGCTCTGCATAGATCTGCACGCACCTAAGCCCTAAGTGAGATCGAGCACGGAGTAATATGTTGACCCAACAATCCCATCAAGTGAGAGGTAAGAATTCTATTGTTGACTTCGGATGCATGATCTATTCAGCTCTGTCCTACGCAGTGCTAGTATTCAGTCTACCCCGTATTGAGGATGATATTAGTAAAGAAAGTCGAGAATCGGACTATAAAAATCAATCAGGTCAGTTGCTATTCAAATGAGATGTGTGCAGTCTGTGCTCCGTACAATCACTCCGTCGACATCAAGAACGCTTGAGGGATCTTAACCTCCAGGCTAGAAAATAAACAGGAAATCTAAAACACCAGGGCAACGGTGGGCCGAGGATGCCGTGAACATGTCATCCCTTTTCCCAAAACGTGATCTGCCCCTGGATGCCGCCTTCTCCCGACCTCGGTGAACCATTTCAGAGAGCGTTCCGATGGACGAGTTCCCCAGCTCCTGTACGAGAGGAGACAGGCCGCAGCGGTCATGGCGGCCTGCACCATGACCTCGAGAACACGAACATCTGATAAGACCTCGCTGCCGAGGGATTCGATCGGACGGATGGCGGCACGGAAGAGAAGGGCGACTTGCCGACGTCACTGCCAGCTACCCCATAGGGAATAGACGTAATTGCAGTACCGCCCTCGTCATAACATCCCTTGGCATATACATGGGGGTACTTCATGCTTACAGAGTCAGTTCAATGTTGGCTGTATACTTTGTAGCAGGGGTATTCCCGTAGTCCATATCCTGGAGAATTGAACCTTCTCGGTAATAGTACTGCTGCTACCAGCAGTAGTACTGTACAGTATCCCACTGTCGACATGATACTATACGAGTCTCATCCCGAAGTTGGGGCTGATCTGCCGGCAGCCCGAGCCCGTGCTTTTCCGTACCGTTGGGGGGAAAATTACCAGGTTTTGCCTACGGCGTCCCGAAATGGGAGAGTTACCGTACCGGGTGTAATACGGCCAAATGGAAAAAAATGAAAATTCCAGGGCCGCAAAAGAGCTTCTCCCCGATTTCTCTTCTCCTTCCTTTTTCTCCCCCAGGCTTTGTGTCCATCTTTCTCCATCTCCCCCATCTTCATATTTTTTTGGGATTCGATATGGCTTCTTCCCTCCGCATCGGTACCTCCGCTCTCCGGTCTTCCATCGCGAAGCCGGTGCAGTCCGCCGCCTTGAATGGTGCGCGCTGCTACTCTTCCGCTAAGGCTAAGGTGGGTGCTGAGCTTGCAGAAGCTTCAATGGCCGCGGACTAACCAACTCTACTCCAGTCCCTCAAGGACACCTTCGCCGACAACCTCCCCGCCGAGATCGAGAAGGTCAAGAAGCTCCGCAAGTAGGTGGCCACTGCCGGACGATCCGCATACAGAACTGACCAAGGTGTCCAATTCATTAGGGAGCACGGCAACAAGGTCATCGGTGAGGTCACCCTCGACCAGGCCTACGGTGGTGCCCGTGGCATCAAGTCCCTCGTCTGGGAGGTAAGCTCAAAGCTCTGTCCCTGTAGCTCAATGACGCAGCTGACCTTTTTTTTCTTAGGGTTCCGTCCTCGACTCTGAGGAGGGTATCCGTTTCCGTGGCTACACTGTAAGTGCTTCCGTGGATTGCAATATCAAAAGTGGCATTGAACTCACCCATCATCCCTAGATCCCCGAGTGCCAGAAGCTTCTGCCCAAGGCTCCCGGTGGTGAGGAGCCCCTGCCCGAGGGTCTCTTCTGGCTTCTGTTGACCGGCGAGATCCCCTCCGAGCAGCAGGTCCGCGACCTGTCCGCTGAGTGGGCCGCCCGCTCCGATGTCCCCAAGTTCATTGAGGAGCTCATCGACCGCTGCCCCAACACCCTCCACCCCATGGCTCAGTTCTCTCTTGCCGTGACCGCTCTCGAGCACGAGTCCGCCTTCGCCAAGGCCTACGCCAAGGGTGTTAACAAGAAGGAGTACTGGAACTACACCTTCGAGGACTCCATGGACCTCATCGCCAAGCTGCCCACCATTGCCTCCCGCATCTACCGTAACGTCTTCAAGGACGGTAAGGTCGCCCCCATCCAGAAGGACAAGGATTACTCCTTCAACCTGGCCAACCAGCTTGGTTTCGGTGGTAACAAGGACTTCGTCGAGCTGATGCGTCTCTACCTGACCATCCACTCCGACCACGAGGGTGGTAACGTCAGCGCCCACACCACCCACCTGGTTGGTTCCGCTCTGAGCTCCCCCATGCTCTCCCTCTCCGCCGGTCTCCAGGGTCTCGCCGGTCCCCTCCACGGTCTTGCCAACCAGGAGGTCCTTAACTGGATCACCAAGATGAAGCAGTCCGTCGGCAACGACATCAGCGACCAGTCCATCAAGGACTACCTCTGGTCCACCCTTAACAACGGCCAGGTCGTCCCCGGCTACGGCCACGCCGTCCTGCGCAAGACTGACCCCCGTTACGTCTCCCAGCGCGAGTTTGCTCTCCGCAAGCTGCCCGATGACCCTCTGTTCAAGCTGGTCAGCCAGGTCTACAAGATCGCCCCCGGCGTTCTGACCGAGCACGGCAAGACCAAGAACCCCTACCCCAACGTTGACGCCCACTCTGGTGTCCTCCTCCAGTACTACGGTCTCACTGAGGCTAACTACTACACCGTTCTCTTCGGTGTCTCCCGTGCCATTGGTGTCCTGCCCCAGCTGATCATCGACCGTGCTCTCGGCATGCCCATTGAGCGCCCCAAGTCTTTCAGCACTGACGCCTACGCCAAGCTCGTTGGTGCTAAGCTTTAAGCGTCTGTGATGATTCCAGAATTTCTTTTTAATTATTGCCTTGGGGGGCCGTGAGGACCCGAGTTAGACATTTGTATTATTTCCTTTGTTTGACCGAGAGTCTTTGGTTATTTTGATGTATGATAGGGGCTTGATCGGTTCGAGCGGGCCTTGTAACAGAACTTCCATGTCCAGTCTCCACTGTCTATTTGTAGACGCGTATACTAGTATCTGTATGGGTCTGGCGATCGATATTAGATCAATCTGAGGATATAATATAAACATTTAAGCATATAAGCATAAGGATATCAAAATAATAAAAAAAACAAATAAATAATAAAAATATCAACACATATCTATCAGATCTAAGTGTGATCGACTCTACAGCGTAGCCAGTGAACGGTCTGGAGGCTGCCCGTTGAATGCAGTACATGTTGTTGGGATTCCCTCAACCGACCCACTACGTTGTCAGGGATACTATCTGTCCTCCAGGGCTGACAACAGACTTCAGTATACCTAAGGATACAGAGTATTGTAGAATTAGGATTGACATATGTGAAGACTGTGCAGATTGCCAGATTTATAGAAATTGATTGCTCCGACAAACGGATGCGAGGTTGGCTCCGGTATGGGAGGTACTGAGTACCCAATAGTATGAGTGGACACGGTGGAGATCGGACGTACCAGGTACCAGCTCCCCAGCTTACTTTCACCCAAGCTCGCCTTTCCCCGTTCTCCCCTTATAAGCCATCGGAGCCTTCCTCCTCTTCTTCATCCTCCACACATCTCCGGACCTCTATCCTCCGACTTTAGCAAGTCTCTTTTTTCCTCTTAAACCCACGTCGCCCCTCTACATCCCTTGGTCAGGGCCCCCTATCAGCAACACATCCCAGAATGTCTACCGCAACTCCTTCCGCGGCCTCGGCCCCCAAGCTCGAGAAGAAGCCCGTCAAGTTCAGCAACCTCTTGCTGGGCGCTGGATTGAATCTGTTTGAGGTCACATCATTGGGACAGGTAGGTCATCCCCGGAATCTCGGCTGGCGCTCCTCGCTGACCATACCCTAGCCGCTGGAGGTGATCAAGACAACCATGGCCGCCAACCGAGGTGACAGCTTCGCGGGCGCTATGGGTCGGATCTGGGGCCGTGGCGGTATCCTCGGTTGTAAGTGACAGCTCCCATCCCGGTTTCTCCCCGACCTGCGTCTTTAGCGCCGTACCAATGTAACCCCGAGGCTAATGGTGGGATTCGGATATTTAGACTATCAGGGACTCATTCCGTGGGCCTGGATTGAGGCTTCTACCAAGGGTGCGGTGCTGTTGTTCGTCGCCTCCGAGGCCGAATACCAGGCACGCGCTCTGGGCGCCGGTGACTTTGTCGCCGGTATCAGCGGTGGTATGACCGGTGGTGTCGCTCAGGCATACGCTACTATGGGTTTCTGCACGTGCATGAAGACCGTCGAAATCACCAAGCACAAGATGGCCGCTGCCGGTGCGAAGCCCCCCGGTACCTTCCAGACCTTCATGGATATCTACCGTAAGGAGGGTATCCGTGGTATCAACCGCGGTGTCAATGCTGTCGCCATTCGCCAGACTACCAACTGGGGTTCCCGTTTCGGTCTCTCCCGTCTTGCCGAGTCCGCCATCCGCAAGGTCGCTGGCAAGGATGAGAGCACCAAGCTGTCG